AAAACATCTTGTTTGACTAGTTAACTCACTTTACTAACAATGGCAGAGTTACTGAACAAAGATACTAAAGTCACAGTTAATAAATGAAATCAGTCAAGTGCTCATATAAACATTAAAGCATTGATAAGTTGACCTTCTCCATGAAACATAACACTCTACTCTAAATATGCAATGAGATATGTATTATTTGCTAGAGCCAAGATGTAAAATAAGATTGCAGACTGTCAGAACCTCAAGAGTATAACAGGAAAACCTGATGGTTAAAAGTAATTTGTAGGGCTGGAAGGTGGCTCAGTGGTAGAGTGCTTGCCTTGCTTGCATGAGGCCCTGGGTTCAATTCCTCAGCACCACATAAGCAGAAAAAGCCGGAAATGGCGCTGTGGCTCAAGTAGTAGAGTGCTAGCCTTGAGCTAAAGAACAGCGTCCAACCCCGCCCCCCCAAAAGTAATTTGTATTAAAGATGAGGCTCAAGTGGTAACACACCTTACTAGCAAAGCCCTGAGTTCAAACCCCAGTAAAACAAGATTTAAAAAAATTAGAGAGGGGTGCATTGACCCCTCTCAGAATCCCACAAGATACTCAGTATTTCAATGATAATACACAGTGCATATAATACACAGATCAGTGCATGAATAAGCCTCCATTCTGCCTACCTAAAATTCCTGAATTTATGGTAACTATTATATAAAGAATCTTCACCTTCCTTTACAACAAAAAATAATGGTTAGTACAAGCATTTCCACTTAAGGTTTTTTTAAATACATTTTTATATATGCATATATATATATATATATATATATATATATAAAACTAAGGCTTGAACTTAAGTTTTTGGAAGTTGGAACTTTCTTACTTTTACTCTACATTTTATCTTCTAATTACTATATTGATTTTTGTTTCAGCAATTACTTTTTAATTTCCAGGATCTTTCTTATTTATATCTTTTTTTCATACTCTATCACTGTTTTATACATGCTATTTTTCTGAAGCTATTTAATGGGTTTTTGTTGTTTCTCTCTGTTTATTGGAATTTTTCCCACCTACACCTCCCCCCCCACATACACACAGGCTACTATATTTCTCCACTTTTCATGTGGAGGGTTTTTATCAATTTTCTACTGGTAATCAGCTGTTATATATGGGAGTATTTGCTGGTGGTCTTCAATGTAGTCTCAGTAAATATGCAGCTTAACTTTCCATTAGGGTCTTTTAACTTTCAGCATATGGAATCAAAAACAAATTTTAATAATATAGTAATTACAGACGATAGAAAATGTACCTAGTGAATTCAAAACATTTGGTGAAATTTTGGAGAATTTAAAAGAATAAGCTGACCAGTAGTTGGTAGTTACTACAAAATATATATATATATTTTTTTTAAATGCTCAAGGCCTGTTGTTGGTGGCTCATATCTATAATCCTATTTAGGAGGCTGAGATCTGAGGATTGCAATTCAAAGCCAGCCCAGGCAGGAAAGGCTAAGAGACTCTTATCTCCAACCAACCACCTGAAAACTGGAAGTGGAGCTATGGTTCAAACTGGTACAGCACTAGCCTTGAGAACAAAGAGGCTCAGGGACAGTGCCCATGCCTTGAGTTCAAGCCCTACAACCTACAACTTCAACAATAACAAAAAAGCTCAAAAATCAGGAAGTGGGTATACAAATGATGGTTGAAGAAGAGTCTTAGGAAAAGACCAAATCAAAAGGCCTCAAAGAAAAGACCAAATAAAGACTATAATCCATATACTTCTAAAGGGTGCCTAGAAAGATGAGAAGTTTGATACGCTTGAGACTTACACGTTTCTACAAAGCGAGTCATAGTGACTCTGAGTACCTGTGAATGTCTGTCTCTCATCTTTCCCTCTTGCAGCCTCCCACACTGTACTTGCCCAGTAGCTCAACCTTTAGATGAATCCTCATTCTTTTATGCAAATTCTTAAAAAATTATGACATACTTGTAATGAACCTGATGTCCTGACTAAATTCAGTCTAGCATGTCTGGCTTTATTAGAAGATATAACCCAGGCTGGTAAAGTGAGGAAGAAAAGCAGTGAAACTAGCAAGAAAGAGAAGCAAAGGCAAACTGGTGAATGACTGTGCAGCATGACTGCTGCGACATGAAAAGCTGTACGCGACACTGTCGGTCTTGCATAGCCAAATGGTACATCTCTGCACCAGCAGGATAAGACGGTGCTCCTATGGCTCTTACAGTTTCAGGGGAAAAAAAAGAGGAATTTACAACACTCCTTAAGGTCCATTGATCCATTAACTTTGCAACTTCTAGACTGCATCTCTTTTAACAGAAGCCTTCTGACATGGAATTCCTAGTATACATAAGTACTAGATGGGCCAGAGATTCCTTTTTTTTTTTTTTTTGTCGGTCACAGGGCCTGAACTCTGGGCCTGGGAGGTGTCCCTCTGCTCTTCAGCTCAAGCGAGTGCTCTACCGCTTGAGACACAGCGCTACTTCTGGCTTTTTCTTGCTTATGTGGTAGCTGACGAATTGAACCCAGGGCCTCATGTGTTCAAGGCAAGCACTCTCTACCACTGAGGCACCTTCCCAGCCCCCAGCCAGGGATTTTGAACATATGGTTACTTTGACCCCAAGCAGAGGAATCACACAGACCTACTGGGTATCTGTCACTACAAAAAGTGGTATAGCTAAGGTAAAGTGATTGGTCAAGGGCTGAGGCCAAGAAGCTTCTCAGGTTTTTGAGATATGTGATATCTGATACAGTATCCAAATACTGAATATCTACTGCCACAATAATGCTGTAAAATAAATAGCTACATATTAATGGTATAACAATAGATGTTCTTTGTTCACAGTTGAGTGGCTCTCCTGATCTTGGCTGGAGATCACTTATCTGAGGGTTGGTTATCAGCCAGTCTAGATAGGAGTCAGCCAGGGTAATAAGGGCAACCTGGCTCTATTCTAGGCCTGCCTCAGTTCTCCAACAGGTTAACATAGCCTTTCAGGTTTATTTATCAACAGTCAAAACACTAGAGTGAATAGAAAGACAATACATTTTTTTAGGCATGTATATGGCTGATTCAGAATGAGAGTGTACTTCAAAGGAACTTGAAAAAAATACCATCAACAATACAGGGAGAAGTAAAGAAGGCCATTTTTGTAGCCTGGCATACCAAAAAGAAACAAGACAAGTGCAGCCAATTCATGTTGTTCTAACAGGTACCTTTCTTTGGATAGAACTTGAGATTTTTATCTGGCTTTGTGACACTGGCTCCTTCTGAAGTATGTGGGTCATCTTTTGTCTGTAAGCTCTGAGATGGGAGGGGGGAAGAGCAAATGAATGATAAGATTATTCTCTCTTCTTTTCCTTGTCCCTTTTAATTGCTATGTGTAGTTGATTTGTAGAGCCGGTTAAATGGCAATAGATTTTTGGGGCAGGGAAGTCTAAATTTAGCCCAAAGAAATCCAACTCTGGCCCTGCTTAAATCAATTCAAGCTCTCCTCTTATTTCTAGAGCCAAGGTTGAAACATGAAGAAATCTATTTTAATTCCATTCTTGTAATATAACTGTTAAATTAGTAAGCCACTGAGTCTATTTGGCTAAGACTGTGGTGCTAATAATGTTCAAACCTTATATAATCCACACTGCTGTTTATGAATAGCATAATACAAATGGCAATCTCACTAAACCAAAGCAAGTCAGAAATCTCAGACTGTAGACCAGTTGTGTGACTTATCAGAAATTAGTGAAATAGTTGCATGGTTTATCAGGAATTATTTAACTTCTTTAATCCTCAGCTGCCATGTGCATATGTGTTTATACTGCTCTAAAACTATAATATCCCAAATGTCCTATTTCTGGGTGCTAATAGGCATTGCATGTTCAAGTAAGTTTAGAGCATGCTAACTTAAATGATTTAATAACCTTATTTCAGAGCTCCTAACAACTGTCAATTAATTGATTGTGATTTTATTATATATATAATTTTTTTTACCAGTTCCAGCGCTTCAACTCAGGGCCTCACACTGGCTTGGCCTGTTTGCTCATGACTGGTGCTCTACCATTTGAGCCATGACTCCAATCAGTTTTGAAAGCGGTTTTCTTCCTAGTTAATTGGAGAAGGAAGACTCATGGACTTTTCTGCCCATGCTAACTTCAAACTGTGATGTTCCAATTCTCAGCCTGATTAGTAGTTAGGATTACAGGCATGAGCCACTGGAACTCACCTGCTTTGACTTCTGAATCTACAAGAAGTAAATGCATCTTTCATCAAGACCTGTTTTTGTTTGTTTGGGATTTGTGTGTGTGTGGGGGGGGGGGGGGGTAATAGGGCTTAAAGTCAGGGCTTAGACACTGTCTGTGAGCTCTTTTTTACTCAAGGCTAGTACTCTATTGCTTTGAGCCACAGCTCCACTTCTGGTTTTCTGGAGTAAGAGTCTCATGGCCTTTCCTGCCTAGGCTGTCTTTGAACCACAATCCTTAGATCTCAGCCTCCTGAATAGCTAGGAAAACAGGCATAAGCAACCAGTGCCAAGCAAGACTTGGGCTTTATTTTTTCTTCCATAAACATGATATGTATCCCAACAGTGTGTATTTACTTATATACAAAAAGAGAGAAATATGTACTGCTATTTTTAGTATCTCTAGTCAGATACCAAAAAAAAAAAAACCACAAAACAGTAGGTAACTTCAAATAAGAAATGTTCGTCAAATGGATGAAACATTGAGAAACATTCATCAAATGGACGGGATGAGAAAGGGTTAGGAAAAGTAACTAGGGCTAAGGCTGTACCTTGGGCCTTAGTAACAAATGAAATCGGTTATTGCCCATAAGGGAGAACAAGCAGGGATGTGAACCAAGAAATATAACTGAGATGAGTGTTCAGGAAGGGAAGGACATGTGATAGGTAGCATTCTGTTACAGGGACACAGTCAAAGCATGCCTACCTTGCAAGAAAGGAGCCAGGTAAATAAATGGTTTTCATTTCCCTCTCAACTTCCTATTTGTTGAATCAAACCCAAGGCCAGAGGGTAAGGGAACCTACCTCACACAACAGAGAGCAGAACATAAAAGAGAAGAGGGTACATCCAGCGGGCCCAACAAAAGGCATCCAGGATGACTGGGCTTTGTTCACCAGCAGCTACTTCCACCAGATTAAGTGACGTCCTCAGGATTCAGTCCCTCTATCTGGACACTCTGCAGTCCTTTCCCAGATTCACTCTAAGACTGGCTCTTTTCACCTGGTAGCATAGGTGGCCACCATCAGTTCTAGGCTTATTCTTAGTTCACAATTCCAAATTAAAACAAAAACCATAGCACTTACATTGTAGGTGCTGCTAAAAGACCCTATTAGATAGATACACGTTCAGTTACTTCTCACAGTGATTCTATCTAAAGTAAGCCACTCTATCCTTCACTCTTTGTGGATGAGAAACCTGACATGACAGATGTGTGGCATAGCTAAGACTGGGCTGTCTAGCTTTGGAGTCTGTGCATTTAACCATGGTATCTATCCCATTGCCTTTTACCAATTAAACATCTTGAATGCCATCCCTAATGCTTATCAGAATGGACTTGGGTGTTCTTGGTCTACCAAAGTAGGGCTTATGTTCATCTCTGTGGCAGGACCACGTGATTATTAGCAATTCTTTTTCCTTTTTCCTTGGGACTTAAATTCAGGGCCTGAGCACTGTCCCTGAGCCTCTTGGTACTCAAGGTTAGGGCTCTACCACTTGAGCCACAGCATCACTTCCAGCCTTTTCTGAGTAGTTTATTGGAGATGAAAGTCTCACGGATTCTCCTGCCTAATCTAGCTTTGAATCACAATCCTTGGATTCCAGTCTCCTGAGTAGCTAGGATTATAGGCATGAGCCACTGGTGCCTGGCTACTAGCAATTTTATCCGAAAAAAAAAAAGAAGTTAGGCAGATACAAAAGGCAGGAAGTATCCATCAGATACAGTATGTTATTTTCCAAAAACTCATTCTGCCTGTTTTTGTGACTAACCTCAAACAAATCATGCTTTATTTCTTTTTCTGTTAAGCAAAGAGATTCAAGCAGGGTACCAGTGGCTCATACCTCTTACCCTAGCTATTTGGGAGGTAGGAATCAGGAGGATCATCTCAATCAATAGGTGGCATACAGTGGCATGTGCCTGTCATTTCAGCTACATTAGAGGATGAGATCAGGAAGGCCAAATATGTCATGAATGCTAGATCCTCACTCAACTGGACATAGTAATTCCATGCCTGTTGCCTTAGCAGTGTAAACAGGTGACTGGATTATGGTTCACATCGGCCCAGCCATACACACTACTGGAAAACTACTTAAGTCAAAAGTCCTAGGGTTATGTATGGCACAAGGAATAGAGTGCTAGGCAGGTGCAAAGCCTTGGGCTCAACCCCAGAACACACACACGCACACGCGCACACACACACACGCGTAGACTCAGACATTTTCTAAATCTAATATGATTATCTCCCAAGAATAAACAAAGCACAACTGTAAGTTTATTAATGTGAGGAAAAGAAAATGACAGATGACTTGTTAACTAATGGATAAGTTTTGTTGCTTCCTTACCTCCAGAGCATTTGGCATTCTTTATCAACTGGTACATAAAAGAATAGAAAAATAACAGATTGTCATATTGTCCTTCGTATTTCTCTTTTAATACATCAGTGTGGTAGCCCACTAGAAAGTAATAAATGGCTTCAATTGTGGAGAGGAAAGTGTCGGGCTTCCCTTTTTGATGGCGCCAAAAGCAAGTTTTTCTCGTTTTCAATTCAACTTGTAACAACCCTGCCAAAAAGAAAAAGAAAAAAATATAACTACTTACTAACTACAGCACTGATACAATAATGATTCCTTTTAATTATTTCAAGAAGTGTTTAAAAAAACACTGATATGAACTGTTAATAGTGATTCCAAACAGGGTAATTTTTTTTTTCTTTAATCTTTGGTCAGATGTGGTCTTGAATTCGAGATGTGGGTTGCCGTCCCTGAGAGCTTTTTGCTCAAGGCTAGCACACTACCACTTTGAGTGACAGCTTCACTTCAGTTTTCTGGTGGTTAATTAAAGAGATAAGAGTCTCATGGACTTTCCTGCCCTGGCTGGCTTTGAACTGTGATCCTCAGATCTCAGCCTCCTGAGCAGCTAGGAATACAGGCATGAGCCAGGAGCCCCCAGCCAGAATATTATTTTAAACGCTTCAAAAAACACATAGAAACAACATCAGATGCAGAATAACATCTTAAGATAGTCACCTCCCACTCTTAGACCTTGCAGCAAAAAAGTAATCAACATTAAGATCTTCCAGTGGGGGCTGGGAAGGTAGCTCAGTGGTAAAGCGCTTGCCTTGCATGCCTGAGGCCCTGGGTTCGATTCCTCAGCACCACATAAGCAAAAAGAAAAAAGCCTGAAGTGGCGCTGTGGGTCAAATGGTAGAGCGCTAGCCTTGAGCTGAAGAGCTGAGGGACAGCGCCCAGGCCCAGAGTTCAGGCCCCACAACCAGACCCCCCCCAAAAAAAAAAAAAATCTTCCAGTGATTTTTTAACCTGTGACAGGACTAAATTCACCAAATTTCAAAAGGCTTTAATAAACTCAAAGTATCATGTGAAACAGAGAGAGAGAGAAGGTGGGGTAGCCTAATGGTCCTCGACACTGGTAAACATTTACTCCTAAGCTATCACTTTAGTTCTGTCTTCAGAAGCAGAACATTGTCACTGTGCTCTGATGTGTCCACACTGCATCCACACTTTCTCTTGGACGACGAAAGAGGAAATGATACATGACGCAGTCGTCATCTTCTGCAAGCCAGGTGTCAGCAAACAAACCCACAATGCTTTCATAGCACCTTAGACTAGTGCTCAGATTCACACTGTGTTTATCTGCCATTCTCAGCAGCTTATTTTAAAGTGAGAAATTTTTTTTTAAAAAAATTGCTCACTGGCCAATAAGGAATGATTTCCTACTGTCACATATCACTTTTACTTAAATGCTACACCACAAATGTAGCAGAAAGGGACAAGAAATAAGTAAGAAATTGCATGTTATTGAGACATGAAGAAACTAGTATTTAATAGTCTGAGGAGTAAAGAACAAAGAGAATGAAGTAGAGAGAGCATTTAAAGAGACAGTGCAAAGCCACAGATCCAGAAAAATCACCATTTAGAGCTATCTAGGGTACTGTGCAAAACCCCAACAATGCAAACAAGATTTTAAAACTAGCCGCTAGAAAGGGACAGATCATGCACAGAGCAATGATCAATAAAATGAGGAAACTTTTCATTAGCAACAAAAGAACACTAAAGGCACTGTGATCATTTCTTCAAAGTGTCAAAAGAAAATAACTGGCCTAAAAATCATGTACCCAGCAGAATAATACATCAAAGAAAAGAGAGAAAACATTAATAGACAAAACGAAAATTAAACCTGTGCCAAGAAGAAACCAAATGAAAGGAATTCTTACAGGATGTAAAAGCAAAAGACAATATAAAATAAAAGAATGCTGAGCAAAGAGAACAGTAGTAAACATTTACTCAAGTCCAAATAAATGTTGTCTTATAAAACAAAAAATAATAAAAATATCTAATTTGTGGGCAGACAATAAAACAAACAGCAAAAATAATGAACAGAACAATAACATTGTGAATGAGACTGAATGACACTTCCATGTACTGTGTCCTCATATTGTTCAAAAGGATGAGTTATTGTTTAGCTTTGAACTTTTTAAAGTGACCCACACACAATTCTTTAAATGAATCCAGATAGGCATATTTAAAAATAGAATTAAGAAAAAAATTTTCAATCAAACAAAAGCCAGGAAGGGAGAAAATAGTAAAGAAATGGGACAAGAAGGATTAAAAAAAAATCAAGATGGTAAGAGATCCAATATATAGATACAACAAATATAAATAAATTGCCAGTTAATAACACTATCTAGGATGACCTTGACAAGGTTTCAATTCGCTATTACATTGGAGGGTTTAGTTAACATAGTAAGAAAGAAAAATAAAATTAATTAGATGCCCTGGGAACCAGTGGCTCACACCTGTGATCCCAGCTACTCAGGAAGCTGAAATCGGAGATTCACAACCCAGGCAGGAATGTCCATAAGATACTTATCTCCAATAAACTCAGAAAAAGTCAGAAGTGGTGCTATAGCTCAAGTGGTAGAATGCTAGCCTTGAGGAAAAAGAAGCTCAGAGACAGTACCCAGGCCCTGATCAGGTTCAAGCCCCACAAATAACAAAAAATAAAATAAATGTTTAAGAACTGGAAAGTAATAAAATTGTCTTTTTTGTAGAAATTAGTATCTTTAGGTGGAGGAAGATTTAAGACACAAAAGGTACTAAACCTAATATCGATTAATTCTAAGACTTTTTTTCCTCAAAAGTTACCTTAATTTAAAAGATGAGACAAACTTCAAGGTACTTCAAACATTCTAGAATATATAAAGAATTCTTATATATCAGTAAGAATGGACAATTAAAATAGAAAAGTGAGATATGAGCATTTGGCAGGATTATTTGGCAATATATCCACATAGCCACATAAAGAAAGAAATTACTTCATCTAATTAGTCACCAGAGAAATATATATTAACACAATAATATACCACTTAACACAGACTAGATTGGCAAAATCAATTATATAACAATACCAAGATAAGAAGAATTATGAATCAATAGGATCTTTCTTATGTTAATGATGGTAGCACACATCTACTCATTTTAGAAGCAATTTGGAATTATATATAAAGCTAAAAGTATTTATGGGCTGGGAAGATGGCTCAGTGGTAGAGCGCTTGCCTTGCATGCATGAGGCCCTGGGTTCGATTCCTCAGCACCACATAAACAGAAAAAAAAAGCGGGAAGTGGCACTGTGGCTCAAGTGGTAGAGTATTAGCCTTGAGCTGAAGAGCTGAGGGACAGCACCCAGGCCCAGAGTTCAGGCCCCACGACCGGACCCAAAAAACAAAAAAAAATTTATATTCAACAGTCCAGAGATCAATTTCTGAAGCAGCTTGTATGTGTGCAAAAATGTTTGCAATAGCACTACTTATAATAACAGAAACAAGTATTTCAATAGAATAAACTATAGTCTATTCATATAACCAGATACTATATAGCAGTAAAAATGAATGAATTACCATCAGGACAATATGGGTAAACTTCAGAAACAAACTGATAACTTTCGAAAGCAAGTACAGAGAAAACAATGTACAAGTTCAAAACAAAGCAAAAATAGGTTAATATGTAGCTTATGAATACAGATGTACATAATAACACTAGAATCTAGAAATAGAAGACAGACAGACATAATTCAAGAGCATTGTCAGTGGGAAAGGAAATAGGAGGAAAGCCATGAAGGATGCCATAGAAATTAACTGAACTTATTCTAGTGCATGGATTTTTATTTATTCCTTTTATCATTATGCTCTGTAACTGCAGATACTCTTCTAGATATACAGCAATTTGTTTCAAAACATAATAACCTCACTTTAAAAAAGATCTTTGTTGGTGACAGAACTAGAGCTGCAAGTCAGATCCCAGACTAGTTTAGATTAAAACGATCTAATCATGTCAATGAAAGGCTTATTCCTTAATCATGCCACAGTCTCTGTGGATAAAAAATTCAATTTCTAGGGGTTGATATTTAAAGGAATTTCTCTAATTTCTATCATTCTCACATGTACATAATTTAGATCATATGAACAACTCTGTGTGTGTGTGTGTACAACAGTACTACGGTTTGAACTCAGTAACTAGACTCTGTCCCTTAACTTTTCCACTCATGGTACTCTGTCCCTTGAGCCCACAGCTCCATTTCTGGCTTTTTGCTAACTGAAGACAAAAGTTTCATGGACTTTCCTATCCAAGCTGGGTTCAAATCTCAATCCTTAGATCTCAGCTTCCTGAAAAGTTAGGATTGTAGGCTTGAGTCAAAATAGTGTGTGGCTACAATACAATTATTAATAATTTAGGTTATCTCCCACAAAAGAAGATCATCTTTCCTCTATATTTTCTCAAAGCTTCTTTTGGTGAATCTTGAGGAATGTTAAGTCATTCTACACTTGTAGTTTTAACCTGACCTTCCATAATTAAGTTAGGCATTCCACTTTCTAGTGTTTTATTCATGTAGATAGTCTCATTTTACATTTTAATATTATAGGAATTTTGTTTCTTTTATTTCATGAGTCATTTTTTCCTCCTAAAATTCTTAGTTTCCAATAACAATAATTTTAAGTTACTTTACTTGCCCAGGTAACACAACCAGAAATTCAAAGCACAGGAGATAATACTATCTCTCTTATTTCTTTATACCTTCTACAGTTCTTGAGGTTTTTCTCAGTAGTTCCTGTAAAAGTTGGGGGCGGGGGGCTGGTGGTGTTATGGTGCTTTGGGAGTTATTTGGTGGCTTTGTTCACGCTTAGAAGACAAAAGAACCACTGAGTTGGTATGAGGCAGTAGTTGCTAAAAGGTTCAACCTGGGAGAGCTTCTCCCAGGCTATTGTTAGAAATGTGAGTCAGCTAGAAAAGAAAGTTTGAGACACTTCACTAGAGTCTGATTCTGTGTTAAATCAGTTCCAAGCTGAAGTGCATGACAGCAGCACATTTAACTAGGTTAACACAGTTTGTACCTTTGAGATGCCCATGCATGGAATGAGGTTGTTTTGACAGTCTGAGTGCTGTCTGTTTCTACGTATGACGAAGTAGAGGATACTACAGAGCACAAGACCCTGAAGAATCTTGCTGCCTGTGTCTACAGGGCAACAAACCCTTAATGCCCTATTCTTTGAAAAAGGGAAAGGGAGCACTGCCAGTCACATTCCTTTACATGTTTATGGCAGCATGTTTACTCCTCAGTTTGAAGATTTTTTTTTTTTCTTTCTGAGCTATTTTTCCTTAGCATTACCTTATATGGTAATTGCAAGGATCAAATGAAAGATCCTAAGTGAAAATCCTTGGGAAAAAAATCTAAGTGGAATTACACTGGCAGTATTCAAGTCTGTTTGCACTTTAGGTTTGCCTAAAATCAGACTTATCCGAAAAATTTCTATTATTTCTTCCCAATTCACATAGCCTAATTCAATTCTGTGCTAGATCACAACTTTTCAAAGGGAATTCTGATCCCTTCAATACCATGAAATAAGTTTTTAGAGGCAGATTTCCCTGTATGTCCTAATTTGATCCCAACCTCTCTGGTTCCTAAGTGTACCACAAGGAATAACTGGAGCTTAGCACATATTATCTTTATGCATGTGAAATACCAATAAGTTTAAAATCCCCTTGACAGTGAAACTGCTGTTTTGTTCAACACTGCACCAACAGTAGCTCTGGATGTGTCAGAATAGAACACTATTAGCAATTACAGCAAAACAATAGATAAAAACTGCAATAGTCACAGACAACCCTGAATTTATCCTCATATATAATTATCATAGAAAAAGCATTTAACAACCTTAAATGTGAGGAGTTAAAATGTTGTTTTGTCAAGGGGCTAAAATCTACAAAAGACATTTTTTTCATCAATTAGGGGTATGTGAATAAAGACTGCATATTAGATAATATTGTGGAATTTTTGTTGATTTTCTTAGAAGTGCTAATGGTATATTTTATTATGCATGAGATTGTACTTATTCTTTTTTTAATTTTTTGGTAGTGCTGGGATTTGAACTCAAGGCCTAATATTTTCTAGGTAAGTACTCTATGCTTCCAGTCCTTTGTGTTACTTTTTTGAGACAGAGTCTCTGCACAGGTTTGTATCTGGATCTAAATCCACTGACTTGAAACTTTCCACTGTAGTTAGTTTGACAGGTGTGTGCAACTGCATCCAGTTTAGGGATGAGAAGTGGCCACTTTTCTGCTGGGCTGGTGGCAAACTGTGGTCCTAATTTCATCCTCCTAAATAGGTAGGATGACAGGTCTGGGACTTCAGCAACCACCTATAAATATGTATATTCTTGGAAGATGTATACTTAAGTATTCAAAAATGTCACAAGGCTATCATTTGCTTTCAAATGGTTCAACTCAAATTACAGGTGATATAAACACATACCTACAGATATGACATAGAAAGAAAAGAAAGGAAATGTGGCGAGTGCATAGATATCCTTGTGGTTTTTCAAATAAAAGTTGGCAGGGGAGAAATAATCCAAAAAAACATTTTTCTTACCTTGAAGTCGCTCATCAGTGAATATTTTGTTTGTCTGGTTCCAAGTGCTGTCTATGAAGATAATTTTTTTCAATGTAGTGCCTCTACTCTCCTTCAAATCACAGTCCTCCTGTTCTTCAGTTTTCTTGCGTTTAAAAGACTGCTTGTCAGGGTCATCATTTTTGCCTCTAACTTTACTTTGAATCCGTTTTTGTAGATGGAAAGAAATATCTTGTATTGATACAGACTCAGGTCCAGGAAAAACAAGTGCCACCTAAAAATGAAGAAACTCACATTAGCCATGTGCTACTGGGATCTGCAACATCAATTCTGATTCACTTAAAATTTTTAGGAACAAGCCAGTAGGTTGGCCCTGTTATATGTGTTTGGGTTTTTTTGGGGGGGTTGTTTTTTGGGGGTTTGGAGGTGTTTTTTTTGTCAGTCATGGGGCTTGAACCCTGGGCCTAGGCACTGTCCCTCAGCTCTTCAGCTCAAGGCTAGCACTCTACCACTTGAGCCACAGCACCACTTCCAGTTTTCTGAGTGGTTTATGGGAGATGAGTCTTATAGACATTCCTGCTGGGGCTGGCTTTGAATCATGATCCTCAGATCTCAGTCTCCTGAGTAGCTAGGATAACAGGCGTGAGCCACTGGCATCTGGCCTAAATGTCATTTTTGCTTAAACAAAGAACATAGTGGATTGATGAGAAAATGGTCTAAAGGGCCTTTATAGATACTATTAATGCCAGGATTAACAGAGTCATACAGTCATGGGGATACATGCCTATAATCCCAACAACACTTGGCAGTAGATCTTGAAGTCAAAACCAACCTGGATTACAGTAATAATAGTAATAGTAGTGTGTACACTGTAGTGTGTTCCATTTAATTGATATAAGTGATATCTAGTTGATCAGACAAGTAAATACAAACATATTCCTGGATCAAAACTGCTATCACTTACTTACACAATTTTCTAAATAAATTCAATCAAAAACAGTTTGTAGAATAAGTGAATATACAAATTTTTAATTTGTTTCTAAGTGGCTCTCACTCACTAAAGCTTCCATGAAACCTAAAAGATTTATAGCTTTTTTCTGAAGTACCCAAGGCCTTATTGTTTGACATCTATTACAAATTTACTGTTTCGGCAAGCTGACTACTATCATTCATTCTGCAAGTGTGACAATTCCACATTATGTGAAAATCAACTGAGAATGTAGAAATGAACAAGAAAGATTATCTGAGCAGCCAAAAGCAATATTAGAAAGGCTGTGTAGTAAAACTCTTGAGAGAGAGAATTCCTGAAAATCCTTTTAACTCTTTTCTTTTGGACACACTCCAACATTTGTGATTTGGTTTCCCAGTATACATCAAGGTAGATCATCTATATGTACATAAACAGAAAATGTTGGAGGGAGGAGAAAGCATAATAGCTTAGGGTCATTTGAACTGTGAAGAAGCCAATAGAGAAAATAGTATATTTAATGTTACATAGGAATAACTAGATTTTCAAATTAATAATTAATAATGTTCAAGTAAGTTCAGAAATGCATTCATATTCAATGTGAAGAACTATAATAAGCTACTCACTTGATGGTCTTCATATTCTGGAATGCAAGGGTAAGTGTATATATTTACAAACTCAGGTGCTAAGAGCTTTGCATGTATAGCTGTACTTTTGCCATCTGTTTCATTTGGATGTTTAATAATGTCAATCTTCAATGGTAGCTAAAGCAAAAACATCAAAAAGAGGCATGAATAAAAAAATTCTCATTTTTAGTAATACAAATCTTTAGCAACTCAAATTACTTCCTCCATATTGTCAATCATAGGCTAAAACAATGCTAAACTCAATAAGTATAAAATCTGCTCTTAAAGCAAAGATTCTAATGTTATTTTCATCTTTAGTTATTTATATGGGTATTGAGTCCAACTCCTCACATTACAGTGTCCATGCCAAGAACATTTTTTATAATTCCTATAAACTCTAGGTCTGTTTATTTTATGCTATTTTAAAAGGAAACGCAAGATTGACCAATTCAAATTTCAAATTTAAGCTGAAATTCTGTTCTTTCTATCTCCTCTCAAACCAAAGGTATTTTTTATGATGCACATCGTAGCTTGCAGCACCACATTTTAACAGTACAAATTAGATTACCAACAGGAAAAACATTAATAGAGTAAGGCAAAGGTGTAACCTCATCCCACCCGTAACTCTCAAAATTATCGGGCCCATTTTTTCCTTAATGGTCATTTGTTTGTTCACTGTCTGTTATGGATTATGTACTGCCTTTGATAAAAAATAATACTCCCTCAGATTTCTTGAGTTAGGACTTTCTATTATTTTACTTTTGATTTTTCTTTCTCTTATTATTTTGGGATTGTGGGACTTGAACTCAGTGTATAGGCACTGTCCCAGAGTTCTTTTGCTCAGGATTGTGTGCCAGAATATTGAGCCACAACTCCACTACCAGTTTTCAAGTGGTTAATTGGAGACAAGTGTCTCAGAGGGACTTTTCTGCCCGGGCTGGCATTGCACCACAATCCTCAGATCTCAGCCTCTTGAGTAGCTAGGATTACAGGCATGAGCCACCAGTGCCTGGCTTGATTTATTTTTTTTAAACTCTCTTTATTAATGCCTGGATAAGTCCTGTATTCAGTCATCATTATGGAAATGAAAGCCAAGTTACAGTCCCACACAAAAGAACTCCTGAGTAATAGCAACTGCTCCTCTGAAAAAAGTAGCTTGGGAACTGATACATACAACAGTATGCCTGAATCTTAAAAATAAGTGCTCTGAGAAGACAGATGAGGAAGAGTACAAAGTATATGGTTCCACTTACATGATTCTAGAAAATGCAAATTACAACGATACTCAATGGCTAAGTAGTTTCATGGGACACCATTTTCAATAATATGAATCATCTTCATGACAAAAAATAAAACCCTTATCAATTATATGAGAGTAGGCATATGTAAGGCATATGACTTTCAAGCAATGAATTTCTCACCTTCACAAGTGGAATCTGTTCAATAGGTACATTTTCGACTGGGACGTAACACGTGTAGCAGTAGAACATCCGGGAACCACCACACTGGAGACACTTTGATCTCCCACTTTGCTGAGCTTTCCGAAGAACTTCTTGCGATGCTAAGCACAAGTTTTGAAAGGGCTCTTCTGACTGTTTTGGGTCCACAACTGTTGAATTCTTTTCTTCACTTTCTTTAGGATATACAGATTGATTGAGAGACATTTTTCCTTCAGACCAAAGTTTAACAGCAACACCTACAACACAAAACACAGATGTACCATTAAAAGAGAGGGGAGGAAGAAAAATTACAAATAAATGTTTTATTCTCCCTCCAAAACCAAAAGCAAACAAAATATCAATTTAATTCATAACTGTGCGCTGGTTTTAGTATTTATGGTATACTTTAATAGTACTTTAAATAAACAATACTTTAAATAAACAATAAAGAAATCACAGTTCTCTACTTGGACCATTTCTTCTACAAACATAGAAAAATGTTATCTTAGTCAAATTATATCAAATATAAAATTTAGGGAATAAAATTCCATTTTTCTAGTACCCTTTTTGTTCCACAAATGACAATTTTGCTTTGTAAGTATTAGGAATTCAATGGTTTTATGTTTGTAGCAATCAGAAATATAGTGAACTCTGTAAATGGAATTGACATTATAGGAGGGTGACATCAAATCTCATGTTGAACTCTAATGAAAATAGAAGTTTGGAGTTACACAATCACACAGTTAACAGTCTCTCACACACACATACTCACACTCACTCACACACACACTCACACACACACTTCCACAGTTCCTGCACTGTAACTCAACCTTAAATTCTAATCTTAAACTCTTCAGAAGGGAATCTGGGAGTGCTGAGATTCTCCATCCCGTCTATTAGCTCTCATCCCTAGGCTCTCATCCCTAGTTGCCATTAAAAAACCAAAAACATATGAGGGCCTGAAGACTTCCACCCAGCATAACAAGGAGAAGTTTGCAGAAAGGCATTTATCTGCATGCCTGGAGGGTGGCATTCTTCAACTGCAAAAAGGATGAAGCTCCCAGCTAGAGAAACTTCCAGATTTCCTATATTTGTGTCCTTTAAAATAACCTTTATAATAAACAGGCAAACATAGGTACAGTTTCTCCCTGACTTCTGTGAACTACTCTAGTATATTAAATGAATGAGGAGGGGCTTTTGAGAACTTCAATATGTAGCTGGTAAGACATTCTTAAAGCTGGGTTGCAAGTGGGTGTAAAGTTGAGGCAGTCTTGGGGGCTGAACCCTCGAGTGAGGGTGACCTCCACAGTCAGATTTGAGTTTAAACAGAAGACAGCTGATGCTGGTTGCAGAACTGCATGCTTGCTAATAGGGACACTTTCTAAGGTCACAGAAATTTTCCATGTGATTGTGCTGGGAAAGTGAGAGAAAAACAAGACACTTTCCTAACACCGGTAAGTTCTTACCAAGATACATTCTCGCCAACTTAAAACATACTGTTCCAGCCCGGAGCTGGTGGTTCACGCCTGTAATCCTAGCTACTCAGGAGGCTGAGATCTGAGGATCGCGGTTCAAAGCCAGCCCGGGCAGGAAAGTCCGTGAAACTCTTATCTCCAATAAACTGGAAGTGGCACTGTGGCTCAGGTGGTAGAGTGCTCTTCTTGAGCTGAAGAGCTGAGGGACAGCGCCCAAGCCCAGAGTTTAAGCCCCAAAAATAAAATAAAATAAAAACATACCATCCCACTTGCCAGACATCAGTGGTTCATGCCTGTAATCCCAGCTATTCAGGAAGCTACGATCTAAGGATCACAGTCCAAAGGCAACCAAAGCAGGAAAGTCTGTCAGACTCTATCTCCAATTAACCACCAAAAAAGCTGGGTTCAAAGTGGTAGAGCACTAACCTTGAGCAAAGAACTCTGGGACAGCTCCCAGGCTCTGAGTTCAAGGCCCAGGATTGGCACTCCCCCCCAAAAAAAATTACTACCAATGGTAGTTTGTAAGAGTTTAGAAGATATAAACGTTTACATAGTAAAACCATTAATCTCCACTCAGTCTCAGAATTTCTATTGATTCCTAAGTGTGTATATCACACACTCACACACACACACACACACACACACACACGTTCAGGTTTTTTAGTTCTAAAAATACAATAATAAAATAATTTTCCCACTTAATATTTTCAAGGAAGGATGATGGCTGCTAATGCATACCCTGAATGCAAGATATCTTTCAAAGCAGAAAAATGAGCAAGGCTCTAGTGATTTACATGCATTCCATAGCAGTAAAATGATTCTCTTACTATAAACCCTACAGCAATGGGGTGTTTAACTATGATACTCCAAGTACTTTGAGGACAAACACCAATAGGAGAAATGCTGTGACTCCAACAGGAAAATTTCTTTCTGTGGTAACCCAAATAAAAAGTGAACAAAAAATTCAGGAAAACAAATGCAACATAATTTGGTAACTAGATGTTTGTGACACTATGAACATAATCACTTATGAACATTTCTTTTTCAAAATTATAAATCCCAATGAGCTTGGGACACAAAGATATGTAAAGAAAAGGATGTTTTTCCTGAGGGAAAAGGAAAATGTGCTTCACAAATTCACCCAGAGGAAAAAGAAAAAAATACAGTAAATATTTTTGCTGCATATTAATTATGCACAGATTTTACATGAATAAAGTTGATCAGTTGGAAGTGGCACTGCGGCTCAAGTGGTAGAGTGCCAGTCCTGAGTGACAAAGACAGATTGTCATTGCCCAGGCCCTGACTTCAAGCCAAGTACCAACACAAAGAAAAAAGAAATGAAGTCCTAAAGGTGCTCAAAGAAAGTACTATTTGAGAATAATAGTCTAATCCCTTCTTCCAGACTCACAAATGAAACACATTATGCAGTGATTACCATTCCAAATCACCTGCCTAAAAATGGCTTCCATCTTTGCGAGGATGCCCTTTGTGACAAAGAGTACAGGATATTTAGCTGCCATCCTTGAGTCTCAGAATCACATGCAAATCTTGTTTCTTACCCCTAGAAAAATAGAGACCTCCAAACTTTTCATACAATCGCAAATGCTTTGCAGAGACCATCTACAGTCCCAAGAAGAAAACTGAGAAGAGAGCCTATTAGTCCCCAGAAATGAGAAGTTCTTTAGCTAACTGTCAAGTATTACAAGCCAACAGAGGGTCCACACTGAGTGGGGCTAAATGACTCCATGAGAAAACAATGTTGTTGTCTGGTATTCTGAAGAAAACTACTGGAAATATTGGAGATATTCTACAACCCACAAAGTATATTCTCTTGAGATATCTCAGAAATATCAACAATTTATGGGCTGGGCATGTGGCTTAGTGGTAGTAGGCTTGCCTAGTATGCATGAAGCCCTAAGTTCTCTTCCTCAGAACCACATAAACAGTTGGAAGTGGTGCTGTGGCTTAGTGGTAGAGTGCTAGCCTTGAGCAAAAGAAGCTCAGGAACAGGGTCCAGCCCCCTGAGTTCAATCCCCAGGACTGGCAGAAAAAGAGAAGTGCATAAATTATTTTAAGTATCCTGATTCAAGGCTTTCAAAACATGGTTATTAACACCAAATATATGAGTGTACACATAGCTGGATTTGTGAGGTTAAAAAGACAGATTAACACAATAACAAATAGTATTTTACTCTTTCTATTGAATTAAAAAAAACTATTTATATACACCAAATGTATCATTTTTACCTTGCACATAACCTTGTTTTTAGATTCACAATCAGGATTCCAACTCAGGCTCCCTATCAACTTCCTCACAAACTACGCCTCACTCTCTTAAGTACTTATTATTAGTTCCACATGTTTGCCATGGAAAAACACTTCATGGAGATACTCTTTGCCCTTCAATTCTGCAAAACCAGAATTCTTTTCTGGTATCACCTGCACCAGATTCTTTTGCACCAGAAGTCAATAAATACTTGTTAACGAAATCAAAAATATTGGGGGGGGGGGCCGGGGAGCAAGGAATCCTCTTATGCATCTCACTTCAGAAGTACCTGATAAACTATCTTTATAGACTTGGGCAGCTTGGCAATTTTTCCCAAAAGAATATTATCCAACACTCCTCTATTGTGTATTGAGGACCAGCTCAATACTAGATATAGTTGTTTCAGATTCCTTTTCTATAGGGTTGTTTTGTTTTTGGGGGCACCTGTCCTGGGGCTTGAACTCGGGGCCTAGGCACTATCCCTGAGCTTTTCTGGTCAAGGCTAGCACTCTATCACTTGAGCCACAGCTCCACTTGCGGGTTTTTTTGTTGGTTAACTGGAAATAAGAGACTCACAAATTTTCTGGCTCCAACTAGCTTCGAACTGCAATTCTCAGATCTTAGCCTGTTGAGTAGCAAGGATTACAGGTGTGAGCCACTAGCACCAGACTTCTGCAGTATTTTTAAGAACTGGTTATGCAATATATATAGATCCATTGTTTTAAACCTAAGATGCAACATATATATATACATGTATATGTGTGTGTGTGTGTGTGACTAAAGGCCTTTCCCACAGCACCTAACACATGGTAATGTAGACTGTCTAGTAGTTTTTCCTGGTAGGGTGGGGTTCTGTCAGAAATAGCCCTTATAGGTGGCAACCTTAAAGCATTAACGTTATCACCCAGCTCCTTGGAACTAGCACCTCATGCATACCTCATTTGTCTTACACACCCAAGAAATAACTCAGACAGCAGATACAAACTCCTCTGCTTATTAGGTAACCATACTCTTAATATTTTAAATACCCTGGCCAGGCCTACATATTCCAGTGTCTACTTTAGGGTTTTTTGCTGTGATGAGCAATCTCTGCTCTCCTCCCACCCATCCCCACTCCTTCCCCTCCTCCCCCAAAACAGAAACAACTCCAAAGGCTAAAAGTGAAAGAATGAAGCTATATAAAAACTGCCTTGGCCAGGGCAGAGACCCCTGAGGGTGTAGAAAATCATTGAAAGGGAGGGAATTGTTTTTTTTTTTTTTTTTAATTTTCCTATAGGGCTATCAAGGGCCTACAAGAGGCCAAAAAACAAAGCCCGCGCGAGACCCAGGTCTCCCTCACAGGTGACCCCCCAGCATGACCTCGGCTAGGGTCGTGACCCCCAGTCGCGCAGCACGAGCAGTTCCACTGCCACTGCTTCCCTCCCCCGCCCCCGAGAGACTTGGGGAACAAACGGCTTGCGGGGTTCAAGTAGGACTCACACCTGCACAGCCCACTACAGTCCACGCACTGCTCCACGCGTCTTCCGCTCCGTCCAAGCCCCAAGGCGCACGTCGGTCCCATATCCTGCACGGACCAGGTAGGGGCAGGAGGGGGAAGCGCTTCCCAGGACACACCAGGGGGAGGGGCTAGATCGTTGCTAGGGCTGTTGCTAAGGGCCGGGCGCAGCGGCGAAGGTGATTGGCGAGGAAGACTGCGGGGCGGAGTTACACAGGAAGTCCCGCCCCTCCCGCGCCTTTCAGGCTTCGCCGGCGGCGGCGGCTGCGTCTTTCTGAGGGATGCGGATGGCGAGCGAGCCCTGAGGCAGCCGCCGGGGGGATGCCACCTTGGCCAGATTGCTCAAAGAGAGTTGTTGCGGTGCGTGGTAAAGAAATAGTTACCTCAGGACGCTTTCCATGTAATCAAAACACAGTAGTCATGCCAACGTAATTTTGGTGGGGGGTTATGAAGTCTTTCGGGCCCTGTAGAGTTCTGAGGGGGAAACCAGCAACGAAAAGAGAAAACCGTTTGTATGTGGATAATTTGGTTCTCGGTAAAACAGGAAGACACAGTTGGTGCTCCTGGGTATTGTATCCGACAGGACATGAAGCCTCAGTTCAGTGGACAAATTCTTCTCGCCATGCCTCCTCCCCACACCTGCAAGAAATTCTGACTGGTGAAAAGTTCATGCTTGACAACTCTAGGACCCAACCACAAATCATTGAACATTTGAGTCGTGTCCAATTAATTTAGGAAGCTGAAGAAGAAATTAAAAAAAAAAAGACTGACCTTGCCCTGTTGGGCACAAGTGGTAGGAAATACAATAATGATACAATCACACAATGCAATAATGCAATAATAATAGCAAAATTTTAAAAAGAAAGATAATACGTATGACTAGTAAAGTTAGAAGAATTTCTAAAGAGCTTAGAATGGAGTGGCCGCTGAAGGCTTTACTCACTGGATTTGGGGAAAGCCTTGAATGGTGATAGTTTAGAGCAGTGTTTTTCAAGTGGAAAAGCATGTAGGAATCTTTGTTGGACATCTTGATCCATTTGTAGACAAAGAAATCAGTCAGGACTAGAGTTTTGACCCAGTGTGCTAGGCATGTCTGTAATACCAGCCATACAAGAAATGGAAGTTCTTTGAGTACATGGCTCAAGTTGTAGAACATAAGGGTCTGAGTTTAATCCTCAGTCCTACCTTTCCCCCTCCCCTGAAAGCTACAGTTTTTTGTTTGTTTGTTAGTTGTGAGGCCTGAACTCTGGGCCTGCGATCTGTCCCTGCGCTCTTCAGCTCAAGGCTAGCACCCTACCACTTGAGCCACAGCGCCACTTCTGGCTTTTTCTGCCTATGTGATGCTGAGGAATCAAACCCAGGGCCTCATGCATGCAAGGCAAGCACTCTACCACTGAGCCAACTTCCCAGCCCCGAAGCTACAGTTTTTAAATACCGAAATAATACAAAGTGGAACTTTATAGAGTTTTGGTGGTGGTGGGTTTTGTGTTGTTTTTTTTTTTTGGGTCCGGTCGTGGGGCTTGAACTCTGGGCCTGAGCGCTGTCCCTCAGCTCTTCAGCACAAGGCTAGCACTCTACCACTTGAGCCACAGCGCCACTTCGGCTTTTTTCTTTTTGCTTATGTGGTGCTGAGGAATTGAACCCAGGGCCTCATGCATGCAAAGCAAGTGCTCTACCACTGAGCCACCTTCCCAGCCCCTGGTGGGTTTTTTTGTTTGTTTGGTTTGTTTTTTGCTGGTCATGGGGCCTGAACTCTGGGCCTGGGTGCTGTACCTCAGCTCAAGGCTCAAGGCTAGAGCTCTACCACTTGAACTGCAGCGCTAGTTGTGGCTTTTTCTGCTTATGTGGTGCTGAGGAATTGAACCCAGGGCCTTATGCATGAGGCAAGGCAAGCGCTCTACCACTGAACCCCCTTCCCAGCCCCTTTATAGAGTTTTTAATTATGTATGTATGTACACACATGCATTGTTCTGATTGTAAAGTGTGTTTCCTATTGTACACAGTACTCTGAAAAGTTTGAAAGGAACTAATCTAAGCAGAATGAAGACCTTTCTGGGTAAAGAAAGAAGCAATGGTGAAGTCTCTCAGGAAAACAAAAGATCCCCAATCATTTTCTTTTTAATTTAATTGTACGAATTAAAAAAACAAATGTTATTCTCTTGTCTCAGTCCTCATAGTGCCTGGATTACAGACACATATGTACCAGTAGGCCCAACAGAGTAGATTCTGGATCTTTTTGTTTGTTTTGTGGTGCTCGGCGTTGAAGTGAGGCCTCACTCATGTTAGGCAAATGGTCTACCAGTGAGCTACAGCCCCCCCCTACCCCCAGTCCATGGCCATTATTAAAAATAAAAACAACATAGTGAATTTAATAAAGTTACTATGAATTCAATAAAGTTACTATGAATGCCTCTAGTCAGATATAATGTTTAGAATCAAGAAAAGGTTTCTTTTTATTTTTTAGTGATCTGCTACCTCCTTGGACTTGGGGTCCATAGATTATTTGTCAAAAAAAAAAAAGTATAGTGAAATTATACACACACACACACAAAGTTACAGAGGTCTGCCTTATACAAAACGAAATATATCAAATTGACCAGAATTTAGTCCCAAAACTCCCACTATAACTACAAGGAAAACATAGAGAAAAATAATTACTGATAAGAACTAATAGTCTGTCACATTCTAAGTTGTTTTTTGTTTTAACAAAAATCTTGTTCCATGTTTTGCCACAATGCCAATAAGGTTAAATTGCTTAAAAATACTTTACAAATCACTTATCTCCTTTTTTATTTATGTGTATGTGGGTAGCAGATTCATCAGTTCCTTGGAGAAATCAGTTAAATCTCCAACTAGAAATACAATTTTCTTTATGTTTCCCTTTAACTTTTATCAAATTCATCAGGAAAACTATTATTAGATACAAACACATTTAGCATAGCATAAACTGACTCAGAGTTATGCCTTCTAATACTCTTAAGTCTTGAAGCCTACTCTGATATTCATAGTCCTAGAATTTCCATTTATTTTCAATCTCCAATTCCTGTATCTTCATTTAGTATTATGTAACCTATATTATATGATCTTTAACACAATTACAGTAGTCATTTTAAAGCCCTCCTCTGGTAATTAAAATAACCATTTTCTCAGTTAGTTGGTTTCTAAAAACAATGTTCATCCCTGGATTATGGATCCCATTCTCCTCCTTTGTATGTTTTTCTGTAGTTTGTTAACCATTATGTAACAGACAGCCTGAAGGAGGCTGATGTTTCATTTCCTTTAGTTTTCAGAGTTTTAGTTAGTGTCAATTTCACTAGATTAACTTCACCTGTGATTAGTTCACCCTCCATTTTAACTGCAAGTTAAACTGCAAGTTTAACTGGATTAACTCGGTCATCAAACTTCTCCATTCTTAGCTACCTCTTAGGACCTGCTCAATATTTGAGCTAGGAGGAATGTTAACTGAAGTCTTACATATTTTTTGATTCACTATTGGTGTCAATTCTCTCTGGGTCCTAGAATACAAGAACTGTGAAAAAATTGTTCATCTTAATAATTTTTCTTTCTCCAGTTCTTCCTTCACTGATACTTTTTTGACAAAACAAAAAGCAGAAACAAACGAAGTGTAAGAGCAGCGAGAAGAAATTGTTTGGCCAATTCAATTATTTTTGCATGCGGATATCTTTCCAATTTGGATCCCCCCAAAACTCCCTAACACCTAAACCCCAGCTGGTTTGTCTTCATCTACAAAGTTACTGCACCATGGGAAGCCCATTGAAGAAGGTTTATTGGATGCATAGAGCTTCAATACAGGTAAAGAAACCCTTTGCTATTTTTTTGCTCAAAGCTAGTGCCTTACCACTTGAGCCACAGCTCCACTTCTAGCATTTTGCTAGTTAGTTGGAGATAAGAGTCTCACAGACTTTCCTTCTTGGGCTCGCTTTGAACCTCATTTCTCAGATCTCAGCTTTCTGAGATTGGAGGACCAAACACACAAACACACTGCTAGTTCCTTCTAGCCAAACTGCTATACTCATCATCCCTGAAAATAACTTGAACATTTTTCTGCCCCTAAGCCTTTCATGTATTCTATCTCTTCTACTCTCTAATCCTTCTCAATCTGACTATCCCAAGAGTACCATAATATTTGTTTCATAGCTTTATTTATCTTTGCTTGTATCTAAACATTTATTTTTATAGTAGTTGCCACACACATTTATTATTTTATTATCAGGTACATAATTACTTATATTCCTCACATATGAGATACTCTCTCAATCTCAAATGTGTAACCACTATTACAAAAGGTAGTCCTGTGATTTGATCATCTCAACCATTTCATATATTGATGAAATAGGCACTTTTATAACTAGAAATGTCAAAGTTTGAGCTTGGATATATTTTCACCTCACAAAGAAACTACTAGATAATAAAAATGGATTATGACTTACTAATTGAAATATCTAAATATTTATCTTCACCATCTTACAAGTGGAGCTTTTTGAAGCACTTCAGCAAGAAAAGCATGTTCTCATTTTGGCTCTAGACTTATTATAGATGCTGTGCACGATAATCTGAAATACCTTGGAATTCTCATAGGAATGTGTAATGACAGCATTCAGCAACATTGATGTAGAGGTTTCTTTTTAGAGGTAGTACATAAGAGGAAAGTCTTTTATAGAGTTAGGTTGGAACCTCAGAATCTAAACATTTATCTCTGTCTGTGAGAGCAGGGACCTGCATGAATATTGTACAGTATCTCACACCCTGAAAATTATAACTTAAGTATACTCGAATATATTTGAGTATAATTTAAGCAAATTATATATGAGTATGATGTAATCTAAATTTATATCCATAACCAATACTGAATTTCCTTTATTAGAAAATAGAAGAGCTTCCAAAGACCTATGAAGAATTTTTAAAGTTTCAAAATTGGGTGAGAAGAGCATTTTACTTTATGTGCATTTATTGATTGATTCATTGATTTAAATAACATATATGAGCGAGTCACCAGTGGCTCATGCCATTATTTAGAAGGCTAAGGGATCTGAGGATCACAGTTCAAAGCCACCTTGGTCAGCAAAGTCCCTGAGACTCTTACCTTCAATTAAAAGCCAGAAGTGGAGCTGAGGCTCAAGTGGTAGAGTGCCAGCCTTGAGAAGAAAAGTTATTACAGTATTATATATTTCTTAATTGCTAAAATTGTAGGTACTCAATTTCCTGACCAGAAAAACAAAGTCAGGCATCAGTGGCTCATGCCTGTAATCCTAACTACTCAAGTCACTGAGATCTAGGGATCATAGTTTGAAGCTAGCAGGGACAGAAAAGGTCACTTGTAATTGTTTTGAGGTTTTTAATTATGTCAAATTTTCTTTAAGGGTTGGGAATGTGGCTTAGTGGTAGAGTGCTTGCCTAGCATGCATGAAGCCCTGGGTTCGATTCCTCGGTACCACATACACAGAAAAAACCAGTAGTGGCACTTTAGCTCAAGTGGTAGAATGCTAGCCTTGAGCAAAAGAAGCTGAGGGACAGTGCCCAGACCCTAAGTTCAAGCCTACAACTGGCAAAAAAAAAATCTTTAACAAAGTGGTACACAGTAAAAAATCAAATTATTGTTCAATTAGGCTAGGTACTGGTAATTCTACCTACTCAGAAAGCACTGGTAATCCTATCTACTCAGAAGGCTAAAATCTGAGGATCAGATTGGAAGGTAGCTCAGGCAAGAAAGCCCATGAGACTCTTATGTCCAATTAACCACCAATTAACCTCCAGAAGGGGAGCTATAGCTCAAATAGTAGAGCACTAGCCATAAGCAGAAAAGGTCAGAGATAGTACCTAGGCCCTGAGTTCAAGTCCCAGGACTGGCACAAAAGTAAAATTGTTTACTTCTTCTCTTACACATTTTTTGCAGGATTATTGGCCCAGGGATATTGATTTGGATATTGATAACTCATGGGAAAATGAGCTGAAAAAAATGAAACAAGACAATACAGTTACATCAATTTATTCACATCTATGGAAGAATGTTCCTCTAATATTTGAAGTATACAGTGCCATGGAGTCAAGATTAATGGACTGTTCTCTGTGTTTGGAAGAGCATGTCTCGAAATTATTTGAGTGGAACGTTGAGACTGCCAAGAAACGCAAATCTCCCTCTATATGTAAGTAAATTAATGGTCATCTGTGTGTGTGTGTGTGTGTGTGTGTGTGTCTGTCTGTCTGTCTGTCTATCTGTCTGTCTATCTGTCTGTCTGTGTAGCTGTTGCCTTATGTAGATTTTCAAAGAAAATGCTAGCCACGCACTGGTGACTCACACCTATAATCCTAGCTACTCAGGAGGCTGAGATCTAAGGGTTGAGGTTCTAGGGCAGCCTGGGCAGGAAAGTCTGTGAAACTCATTATTAAATTACCAAAAAAAACAAAACTGGAGCTGTAGATCCAGTGGTAAAGCACTAGTCTTGATCAAAAGAAGCTCAGGGACAGTGCTGAGGCCCTGAGTTTAAGCCCCAGGACCAACACAAAAAGAAAGAAAAGGAAATGTTAGACTATAATTATTTTTTCTTTTAGTGGGGTACTGAAGTTTGAATTCAGGGCTTCATGCTTGCTAGGCAAGTGCTTTACCATGTTAGCTATGCACTCAGTCCTGAAGAATAAAATATATTTTTTCTTAGTTTTACTGTATTTTTGTTAGCATACCTTAGTTGTAACATTTCTACACATGAATACAGTGTATCCTGACCAACTTCCCTACCTCTGTTGCTCTCCTTTATGCTACTCTCCACTTACAGAACAATTTCACAGGTTTCAATGTTCTCTTTTCATACATGCAAACAAACTACTTGGACTGTTTTCATCATTCACTCTCGTTAGCCTTTCTGCTGGTACTACCCCTGCAATAAAGCCTACTCCACTCTCCTGTCATTCACTTTTTCTTTTTTATTCCTTTTTGTTAGTGTATTCATTTCACTAAGATGCTCTACCTTGGTACTTTTGATATGCATATAGTAAACCTTGCTCAGAACAGCCACCTCTACTGCTTCTGCCCTTCTCCCCTCAATCCCCTAGCTTTCCTTGAGACTCCTTATGCAGACTTTATGCACAGTTAAATGTATTTCAAAGTTTCTCACCCTCCATCTTTATCTTCCCTCTCCCCATCCCTCATCCTCCTAGATAGTCCCATAGTTCAAATCATGTTCTCTCTGTATACATATAACTTTTTGTATATAAACATATGAAAAGCTGGGTGTCAGTGGCTCACACCTGTAATCCTAGCTACTCAGGAGGCTGAGATCTGAGGATCGTGGTTCAAAGTTAGTCTTAGCAGAAAAGCTCTGAGACTCTTATCTCTTATCTCCAATAGCCTACCAAAAAAAACCTAGATCTGTGGCTCAAGTTGTAGAGCACTAGCTTTGAGCAAATGAAGTTCAGGGGCAGCACCCTGCCCTGAGTTCAAGCCCCAGGACCAGCAGAAAAAATAAGAATGAGTCAGTAGCATTCCCCTTCTTTTTTATGGAAGAATTTCAGGAGTATTGGTGTTCTGCTTTAACAGTCTTCTAGAATTTAGCCATGAAACATTTGGATTCTTATCTTTTCTTCTTTGGAAGACTATTACTGCTTCAATCTCATTGTTTGCTATTGATCTGCTTAGGTGGTTTATGCCCTTTTGATTGAATTTTGGTAGATCAGTTGTATCTAGAAACTTTTTTCTAGATTTTTTTTGTTTATTTGAGAATAGATAGGTTCTCAACATAGTTTGTGTAATCATTTAGATTTTTCAGTTTCTTTGAGTCTATTAATTTGAGTGGTAGAATGCCAGCAATCAGTCAAAAACCAAATGAGGATGCAAAGCCCTGAATTCAAGTACCAGTACCAGGACCAATACACATAGACACACACATGTGTGCGCGCACACACACACACACACACACACACACACACACACACACACACACACACACACACAGCATAGATATTCCCTTTGTGTTAACAAAGACTTCAAGTTAGGTGCTAGTGGCTCATGCCTGTTATCTTAGCAACTCTGAAGACTAACATTGAAAGGATTGCATTTATGAGACACTGTCTTAAAAATAACTCACAAAAAACAGTTTGAGGAGTGACTATTGTAGTAATTTGCCAGTTTAGCAAGCTTGAGGCCATAAGTCCAAATACCAGTATTACTAAGGCAGGGTAAAACACCTTGAGAATGATAACATTGGTCTTTTCTGTATAATAAATAAAATTGAGGGCTGGGAAGGTTGCTCAATGGTAAAGTGCTTGCCTTGCTTGCATACATGAGGCCCTGGGTTCGATTCCTCAGCACCACATAAGCAAAAAAAGTCAGCAGTGGCGCTGTGGCTCAAATGCTAGCCTTGAGCTGAAGAGTTGAGGGACAACGACCAGGCCCCAAGTCCAGGCCCTGAGTCCAGGCCCCACAACCAACAAAAAAAATAAATAAAATTTATAAACTATATTATTTAGATTTTAATGTCCAATTTTTGGCTTTAAATTTTTCAAATTCAGAGCCTATGCTTATATATGCTACTATTAAATCCACCAGTTATTTAAAATTTTTATATTGAATTTAAAATTTTTATATGTATTTTCTGTGTGTGTGTGTATATATATATATATATGGACAGAGCATTTGTGATAATACACACATACATATATATATACCAACTATGTATATATTATGCATACACATGTATCTTGTGTTTGTATTCAAAGTACATAAATGGTTTTCATAAGTAAAATATAAGTAAACACAAAAATATAAACATATCGCTTTGTACTGTCTCCTGCTTTTAAAAAATAATTTTATATGTATTCATTGATTTTATGTCAGAGGTTAGATTTAAGTTTACATTATGCAACTTAAAAGCCCACATAATCTTTCACTGGGCCATGCACTTTATTGAAATTAAGCTATCCATCAAATAACCAAACCAAAGTGATTATCTGACAAATGTGATCTTGTTCAGTAGTCATCACCTAAGGCAAAATCTTAAATGTAAAAGTAAGTATTTATACATTTTGGTGGAACACTATTTCACACAACAATACACAGAACATAAATAAAAGTTACTCATTAAAAGTATGGATAGGCAACTCAAAATGGATTAAAGACTTTAACATTAAACCTGAATCTCTGAAACTACTGCAGGACAGAGTAGGAGAGATACTTGAGCTAATAAGCACAGGAAGGAACTTCCTGAACAGAGTCCCAGGGTCACAACAAATTGGAGAGAGACTCGACAAATAGGACTATCTTAAAATAAAAAGCTTCTGCACAGCTAAATCTATTGTAACCAAGCTAGAAAGACAACCAACTAATTGGGAAAAAATATTTACCAGCAATATATCAGACAAGGGGTTAATATCCAGTATATACAGGGTACTCAAGAAACTAATCCCTCCCAAACCTAACAAACCAATTACTAAATGGGCAAGGGAACTAAAGAGGGACTTCTCAGATGAAGAAATAAAAATGCAAAGAAACACATGAGGAAATGTTCACCATCCTTGGTGGTGAAGGAAATGCAAATAAAGACAACCCTGAGATACCACCTTACCCCAGTCAGAATGTCCCAAATCCACAAGTCAGCCAACGACAAATGCTGGAGGGGATGTGGAGAAAGAGGAACCCTATTACACTGCTGGTGGGAATGTACACTTATACAACCACTTTGGAAAGCAGTCTGGAGGGTCCTCAGAAAGCTAAAGATTGACCTCCCTTACGACTACTTCTAGGCATCTACCCTGAACAACAGGAACCAATATACAAGGACACATGTACCTCCATGTTTATTGCAGCACTGTTCACAATAACTAGGATATGGAAAAAACCCAGATGCTCCACCACAGATGAATGGATCCAAAAATGGTGGTATCTATACACAATGGAATATTATGCAGCCATTAGAAATGACAAAATAATGGCATTTGCAGGGAAATGGATGGAGCTAGAAGAAATCATGTTGAGCGAGGTAAGCCAAGAGCAAAGAGACAAACGGTACACGGTCTCCCTGATAAGTGGATGTTAAATCCAAAATGTTAGGTGATTCGACAAAATTAACATGACTTAAGAAACAAAGAACTTCCACTCATCTGGTCGAACCACTACTAAATAACCCCATGCTGCTGATCACATGTATGGGATATATGTGTACACCATTATATGTTATAGACCGTGATAGACAATTTGCTCCAGGAAAGTTAGAATGAGCATGTGACTTTAAATGAGCATCATTATTCCACAATACTGTGAAATTTGGGAAATTATGTAATCACTTAATCACAAAAAAAAAAAAAAAAAAAAAAAAACCACCAGAAAACTAGAAGTGGCGCGATGGCTCCAGTGGTAGAGCATGAGCCTTGAGCTGAATTGTTCAGGGACAGCTCCCAGGCCTAGAGCTCAAGCCCCATGACTGACAAAAAAAAAAGAGAGAGCTCTTTCATGCGATTGTTTCTAACATATTTATAAGATTATGTCTTTGTTGCCTTGTATGTCCCTTCCCCATGGTACAACCCCTGCTTTCACTATATATGATGTTGGTATATGTGGAGGGGAAGAGAAAAAACAAATTGTTAAAACAGGGATACAGGAGGACTCATTGCAACAATGAGATGTACAAATCGTTATGTCGAAAAACGAACTTTACAACTTTGGTGGGGGGTGGGGAGGATACGAAGGGATGGGAAGGGGAAACAAAGCAGGAGGCTCCAATGCTTGATAAGAAATGTGCTCATTATCTTACCCATGTAATTGTAACCCCTCTGTGCAGTATTTTCACAATAAAAATATATTTAAAAAAATAATAAAAGTATGGATAGGTTATACTTAGTAAAATTCCTAGCTCATCTTCACTCAATTTTATGTCATATCTCTAAATTAGAGTATTTAAACTTATTAAGTATTTAAACTTAAATATTATTTCTTTAAAGAACTTAAGTTTTTCTTCATTCCTAGAGAATTTGATTAAGTATATTATCAATTACTTTTTTAAAGATTCTGACGAAAAACTTGAAAAGTACAAGTTATTCCTCCAGAAATGCAGTAAAGAAAAGAAGATAATGGTATGATATTTACATTTTTCATTCTTCAAAAATTGTATTTGTATAGAACATATAAGCACTGCAGTCTCACAGATAAGCACTGTTAACACTTTTTAAACACCCTTTTAGTTTTTGGTTACTTATTTCTATTTCAGGAATGACTGGGTTTATCTTCTCTTCACAATATAGGATAGGTAAGCTTTATTTTCTGGCAAGGACATTTGGATATTTATAATGTCATTAACACACCATAAGAAATTATCAGGACAGTCAGACAGGCCATGGAGGAAAAGCATAAGTGTTTGTTCTATCATGTACCAAATAATTTCTGGGGCTTTGTACTCTCTTGGTAGAGTATAGGTATCTTCATATCATTACAAGTTATTTAAAGATTGATTTCAACTTATGCATATCCTTTGAGGTTTATAATTATTCATTTATTTTTATCATAATTTATAATAATGCATACTTTATAGTCTAAGTCCCATGTTTAACTTCTTCCTTTAGGAAAAAATAATACTTTCAATCATTATTTTGTCAGTGTTTTTAAAAAATCTTCATATTTTCACTAAAATTATAATAGGCTTTTGAATTACTTACATATAATTAGCCCTTTTCAAAAATAAATTTTTCAGTTACATATTGTTAATGCTATAAAGATTTAAGTATCTGCCACCATTAGCCCATCCACTTAATTTAATATTTTAAAAGACTCATGTCCAATTAACCACCAGAAAACTGGAAGTAATGCTATGGCTCAAAGTGCTAGAGTACTAGCCTTGAACAGAACTCAGGGACAGTGCCTATGACCTGAGACTCATAGACTTTCCTGCCAGGATGGCTTTCAACCATGATCTTCAGATCTCAGCCTCCTGAGTAGCTAGGATTATAGGTGTGAGTCGCCGGCACCTGGCTAGAAAATTTAAATTTATTATTTCTTACTATAAATCACTAAGGGAGGAATTTTAGAAAATTGGGAAAAAGAGATAAGCACTAAAAAGGAATTACAATCAAAATTTTATCATTTATAGATAAGTCACCTTATTTCATTTGTGTTTTCTTAGAAAAAAATTTTTCTAATCCATCAATGCACTACCAAGTTTTTAACACTTTTTTTTTTTTTGCCAGTCATGAGGCCTGAACTCTGGGCCTGAGAGCTGTCCCTCAGCTCTTCAGCTCAAGGCCAGCACTCTACCACTTGAGCCACAGCGCCACTTCCGGCTTTTTCTATTTATGTGGTGCTGAGGAATCAAACCCAGGGCCTTATATATGCAAGGCAAACACTCTACCACTGAGCCAACTTCCCAGCTAACACATATTTTAAATAATTTTAAACTGTATGTTTCATAAACAAGCTAATTTATTAGGCCTTTTGTTGAACAATTAAGTTAGTTTTGATTATTCATTGTCATTTACAAAGATTCTTTTCCATGATTATAAGGATAAGTGTCTAAAAGGAGAACCAACTGGGGAAATATTGGTTTTAAGTGTTTTTCTATACATTGCTAGGTTGATGTTTCGATAGCAACTATTTCTGTTTGTAGTAATGGAATCTCTGACTGATGCTTTACCCATACTCTTGCCCACACCTACACTTATGGCTTTTTGGTGGTTAACTGGCTAGGTTCTCACAGTCTTTTCTGCCTGGGCAGATCCCAGCCTCTTCAGTAGCTAAGGTTACAGGTATGGACGAACAACACTCAGCTTATTTTTAGTTTTAAGAGCTATTTATACTCCAAAGTATTAAATTTTCTCAGTAATATGAGTTACAAATATTTATCCCATTTTCTCTTAACCCAAAAGGTTTTTGGTTTGGTTTGGTTTGGTTGGTTGTGTGGCTTGAACTCAGGAGCCTGGGCACTGTCTCCTGAGTTCTTCTGTTCAGGCTAGCATTCTACCACTTTGAGCTCAACTCTACTTATGCTTTTCTGGTGGTTATTGGAGATCAGAGTCTCACAGATGTCCTTGCCTGGGCTGGCTTCGAACCACAATCATCAGATCTCAGCTTCCTGAATAGTTAGGATTCCCAATCCCCTGTGCAAAAGTATTTTTTGCTACATAGAATTTTATATGTTCATGGATATATAATTTTTACTAACTTTCTTTACTTTGGGCGACATAGTTTTTAGAAAGATTTCTTCATCGCTAGATCATAGATATAGTCATACTTACTCTTTTGTAAGGGTCTTTTAGTTTTAAAATCTTGGGGCTGGAAAGGTGGCTCAGTGGTAGAGCGTTTGCCTTGCATGCATGAGGCCCTGGGTTCGATTCCTCAGAACCATATAAGCAAAAAGAAAAAAGCCAGAAGTGGCGCTGTGACTCAAGTGGCAGAGCGCTAGCCTTGAGCTGAAGAGCTGAGGGACAGCGCCCAGGCCCAGGGTTCAGGCCCCATGACTGGACCCCCCCCCCAAAAAAAAATAAATAATAAATAAAATAAAATAAAATCTATGTGATTTTCTCTATATAAGCTTTACATACCACCTGTTACATTTTTCGTAGGCATTACAAATTTTTTTAATAATCGTGGCAAGATTGTTTGTCTATCACATTTTCCCATTATTAATGGCTTATAGGATGTTATTATTATTGCCTTATGAATATTAACAATGTTAGGGATTCACATGCTATCTCTGACATTAATGGAGAGGATATAGGTATATTGCTATTAAGTGTAATTTAAATGTTTATATAATTACATTTTTACATTAAGAAATTTTTAGTTTTTTTTCAAAATATATAGAAGTGTATATGGATGTAGATGTAGAATAAATTATTATTAATGATGAAATATCAGTGTTTTGAAATGAGAGGGGTGAGTGTACTATGGTGAGAACAAAAGGTAATTTCATCCTTGAATCTGTAAATGTGACAGATTACATTGGTACCTCTTCAGACTTTGAACCTCATTAAATAATGCATCATTGCTTCCTTGTTTTTGTTTTATTTAGTCTTTGCATCTATGTTTAGTAAGATAATCATTTTCTATATAATCTGTAGTTGATTTTAGTATTAAAATCATACTAAACCTCAGGAAATATACTTAGTTTTATATCCCTTTGATCTAAAATAATTTGTAGAATATAAGGATACCATTTGTCTATCAAAAGTTTCCTGAAAATTTCCATTCATAATGATATATTATTTATATTGTACATAAAGGAATGATTAAATTAGTAGAAAAGCTGTATGAGCAAGACACAGTGACTCACTCCTGCAATCCTAGCTATTTGGGAGGTGGAGATTAGGAGGGTGGCAGTCCCAGGCCAGACAGGGCAAAAAGTTTGCAAGATTTTATTTCAACCAATAGCTGAGCAAGGTGGTGCATTCCTGTACTGCAGGAAGTATAAAATAGGAGGATTTTCAAAATAGACCATATAGTAGTTCATACAAGGAACGTAAGCAAATACAAGAGGATTGACATAATTCCCTGTATCCTATCCAACCACAGTGGAATCAGGCTAGTTCTCAATAACAAAACATACCACAGGAATACTCAAATACATGGAAATTGAACAGCACACTTCTAAGCAACACCTGGGTAATAAGAAATTAGAGCGGAAATTAAAAAGTTCCTACATTCAATGAAAATGAATATGTATCACAAAGAAACTTGTGGGACACAGCAAAAGCAGTCCTGAGGGGCAAATTTATCACCCTCAGTGCCCACATCAAGAAAATAGAGACAGACCAAGTAAATAATCTCATGTTGCAATTAAAACAGCTAGAAAAACATGAAAAAATGGAACCTAAAGTTACTAGACAGAGCCAGATAATCAAATTAAGAGTGGAAATTAATGAGATTGAGAATAGGAAAATAATAAATAAAGTTAATAAAACAAAAAGCTGGTTCTTTGAAAAAATAAATAAAATTGATGGACCTTTGGCAAGATTAATTAAGAACGGAAGAGAGGAAACCCAAATTAACAAGATCAGGGATGTCACGGGAAAAATCACAACAAATACCCAAGACATCCAAACAATTATAAAGAACTATTTTCAGGGGCTGGGAAGGTGGCTCAGTGGTAGAGCGCTTGCCTTGCATGCATGAGGCCCTGGGTTCGATTCCCCAGCACCACATAAGCAAAAAGGAAAAAAGCCGGAAGTGGCACTGTGGCTCAAGTGGTAGAGCGCTAGCCTTGAGCTGAAGAGCTAAGGGACAGCGCCCAGGCCCAGAGTTCAGGCCCACGACCGGACCCAAAAAAAAAAAAAAAAGAACTATTTTCAATAGCTATACTCTAAAGAAAGAAAATCTAGCAGAAATGGATGCATTTTTAGAAAAATACAAGTTGCCCAAACTGATCAAAGAAGAAGTAAATCAGTTAAATAAGCCAATATCTTACAACAAAATACAGGAATCAATCAGAAGTCTTCCAACAAGGAAAAGCCCAGGACCAGATGGATTCACAACGGAATTCTATAAGACCTTTAAAGAAGAACTAATACCCATACTCCTCAAGCTATTCAGAGAAGTAGAAAAAAAAGGGAGCTATCCCAAACTCATTCTATGATGCCAATATCACACTCATCCCCAAACCAGGCAAAGACCCTACAAAAAAAAGGAACTACAGACCAATCTCCTTGATGAACACAAGTGCAAAGATCCTTAACAAAATTCTAGCTAACAGAATCCAGAAACACATAAAAAAAATCATACACTACTACCCGGTAAGCTTCATCCTAGAGATGCAGGGATGGTTTAACATACATAAATCAATAAATGTAATCCAACACATCAACAGGTCAAGAACCACATGACTATCTCCACTGATGAAGAAAAGGCTTTTGATAAGATACAACATTCATTCATGTTAAAAGCTCTGGAAAAAATAGGAATAGTAGGAACATTCCTTCAAATAATAAAAGCCATATATGACAGACCAAGAGCCAATATTATACTTAATGGGGAAAAACTACAACCAATTCTCCTAACATCAGGAACAAGGCAAGCATGCCCACTGTCTCCTCTCCTCTTCAATATAGTCCTAGAACCCTTAGCCAGGGCAATAAGGCAAAAGACAAAACAAACAAACAAACAAAAAAAAGACATTAAAGGGATCCACATAGGGAAGGAAGAAGGTAAACTATCCCTTTTTGCAGACGACATGATACTATACCTTCATGATCCCAAAAACTCCATCCCCAAACTCTTAGAAAACCTCATATTTTCTTTAAAACCAGAGTCTTGAAGTATATTCTAAAGTGTCATCAGTATCCTGTTTTAGGTTTTGGAATAATGGAAAGCTAATAATTCTACAGTAATCAGGTCGGCAATACTGGGCCTTGAACTAACTCAGTGCATGGCTACTGTCCCTGAACTTTTTAGCTCAAGGCTAGTGCACCACCACTTAAGCCATATCTTCACTTCTGGCGATTAAGAGCACTGCAGATTTTCTTGCCTGGGATGGCTCTGAATCATGATCCTCAGATTTTAGCCACCTGAATAGCTAAAATTATAGGCATGAGCCACCAGTGCCCATCTTGCATTCATTTTATTATTTAAAAAATTGTTTTATCGTGTGTGGCTTCTTTCCTTGAAGTATAGAGTGAATTAAAGCCCCACCTCCATCCTACCCCGGTGAGAACCACCTACCAGTAGCAAGGTAAAAATAGCAGTAAAAAGAGGCAAAGTACCATTGCTTACTCATGATATTCCTGAGCCATCACCCAAACTCCCTAGAAATGGAAGGTAGCTTCTCCCATCTGCATTTCTCTGGCAGCCATGGGAGTAACTGGCTAAGAGAGACTCAAGTATGACTCTCCTAGAAGGGATATATCTAGCAACCTAAACACGTGTTTAGCTGCTTTTAACTTTTAGTATGACAATCATGCAGGAACTACCCCAAACTTGATGATTTCCATATCATTAGATGACCAGAAGGCAGGGGTGGGGTGGGGGGGGGAGGCTAAAAATCTGGAGTTTTAAACCAGGAGACTGAGAACTTGCCACTCAAGTGGCCTGTGGACCACAATGTTGGTAACACCCGGGAGCTTGTTAAAAATGTTGGTGCGGAACCAGTACAACAGTGATACTCACTAGACACTATGTTGGAAATGTTACAATTTGGTGGTGAGTGTAGTTGGGGGGCCGTGGCTGGGGCCAGAAGAGGGAGAAAACGGGGGAGGTAGCACTGTCAAAAACAAATGTACTCATTACTTTATGTAACTGTAACCCCTCTGTACATCACCTTTACAATAAAATAAAATTTAAAAAAAAAAAATTGTTTTAAGACTAGGCACTGGTTTGTGCCTGTACTAACTACTCAGAAGGTTGAGACAATTACAGTTTGAAGCCAACAGAGGCAGAAAAGCCTAAGGGACTCAACGCCAATTAACCAGCAAAATGCTGCACTGGAAACCTGGCCCAAGTAGTAGAGCAGCAGCCATGAGCAAAAAACCAAACAAGAATGAAGCCCTGAGTTCACACCCCAGTATGACAAAAAAAAATTGTATAATAATAATAATAATTCCTTCTTCATTCTTCCTTTTTTCTTCTTCATTCTTTTTCCTTCCTCTTTCTTCTTCTTTCTCCTTTCTCCTTCCTTCCTAATTCTCCTCTTCATCCTCCTCCTTTTTTCTTCTTCATTCCTTTTTTTTTTGGTCATGGGGCTTGAACTCTGGGCCTGAGCGCTGTCCCTCAGCTCTTCAGCTCAAGGCGAGCACTCTACCACTTGAGCTATAGCACAACTTCCAGTTTTCTGGTGGTTTATTGGAGATAGGAGTTTCACGGACTTTCCTGCCTGGGCTGGCTTTGAACCACGATTCTCAGATTTCAGCCTCCTGAGTAGCTAGGATTACAGTGTGAGCCACTGGCACCCGGCTTCTTCATTCTTTTTCCTCCTTCTTTCTTTTTTCTCTCTCTCTCCTCCTCCTCTTCCTCCTCTTCCTCCTCCTCCTCCTCCTGCTTTTGTCAGTCATGTGGCTTGAATTCTAGGCCTGGGCATCCTCTCTGAGCTCATTTGCTCAAGGACAGCACCACTTCCAGTTTTCTAGTGGTTAGATGGAGATAAGAGTCTCACAGGGACTTTCCTTCCCAGGCTGACTTTCAACCATGGTCCTCAGATCTCAGCCTCCTGAGTTGCTAGCTAGGAGTACAGATGTGAGCCACCAGTACCTGACTCATGTTTTAAAATTCTTATTGTTGAATTTTATCAAACAACTTTTCAGTATGTTTTGAAATTACTTTTAGATGAATTGTACTGACAATAGTTTCATAATTTTTACTAACTATAAACATTTTACTGTATTTTAAAATCTGGTTCTTAACATGGAAACCTGTTATTAAGAGCTTTAAAGATTTTATTTATATCTTTTGCAGCTTTCAGATGAAATGAAGACAGAGAAGAATATACAGGTATTTAAACTTTTTGTTCTTCAGGATTGTGTATCGAAAATATTATATCGAGCTATAATAACATTTATGACACAAGAGATGCAGATAAAATATAGAGAAGTGTTCCAGAAAAGAAAGATAGAGGGCTGGGAAGGTGGCTCAGTGGTAGAGCGCTTGCCTTGCATGCATGAGACCCTGGGTTTGATTCCTCAGCACCACATAAGCAGGGAAAAAAAAGCCGGAAGTGGCGCATGGCTCAAGTGGTAGAGTTCTAGCCTTGAGCTGAAGAGCTGACGGACAGCGCCCAGGCCCAGAGTTCAGGCCCCACGACTGGACAAAAAAAAAAAAGCAGGCATAGAGCCTTTCTCTTTCTGCCTGCCTCGTTCATATTTCTTATGTCATCTAGCTAACATTGTAAATCATTTGACCATATACCAAACCAAATGCCATATAAGGATGCTAAGACACATCTTTTTCCAGAAAAAAATATGAAGATTTTTCTTAGAGAGATATAACATAGTATAGTAACATGAAAAAAATCTTTGTTAATTTCTATTCTGTGATATTTTTCTTTTTTTCTAGGGTTCTAATTTCTCAGGTTTCAAAATAAGTGATACTACTCCATTACCCAGACATGTGGATGCTAAACGAGTTTTCCTTTTTATTTTAAAAAACCATGCCATTGAAGTAGGTAAACATGACTTTGTTATTGTATAATAAACTTTGAGAATATCAATTTATAAGCCAGATCTATATTTAAAGCTATGACAAATTAATTATTAAGCAAAAATTGATCTTCGGACATTAAACTTGGCAGGAAATACCAGTGATGTCTAATGCCATTTATCAAAAGATTATGTATTAGGCAGTGCTAGTGCCTACAAATCTAAGGATACACTGACTGGGCATGTGACCAGATGCCATGCATTTCCTTCTGTTTCTACACTCTCAGCTCAGGATAGTTTAGCCTGCTGCTTTGACTCTAAAATAACTTACAAGTCAGGTTGTCATTAAAATTTAACTTTTTACTTTTTAAAGTAGCTACCAGAGGGGCTGGGAAGGTAGCTCAGTGGTAGAATGCTTGCCTTGCATGCATGAGGCCCTGGGTTCGATTCCTAAGCACCACATAAGCAGAAAAATGAGCCGAAGTGGCACTGTGGTTCAAGTGGTAGAACGCTAGCCTTGAGCTGAAGAGCTGAGGGACAGTGTAGGCCCCACAACTGACAAAAAAGTAAATAAAAATAAAGTAGCCACCAGAAAATTAATATCATAAATGTGGCTCATGTTAATTATTTGTTGGACTATGCTGATCGGTAACCATGGAATACATTCTTTGTAAAGCACATTTACATTAGCATTTTTGTGATCTATTTTAATTTGAGATTCACCTTTCTCTTCTGTAGGAAAGACTTTGTAAAGTCTGGAAGCACCATTTTCTCTCAGAAGCCTCCATTTACCTTCTGCATGACTGCTTTTGGTGGTGGTTTCTCTATAAATTTAAGGTAAATGATATATTTTCAAAGTTCTGTTTTATAAACATAGTAGCATAGTTAATTTTTCAGTTGAAGTAACACATACAAAAATATTTTTCTAGGTCTTCTCACAGAGATTAGATTATAAGCATTCCACACATGCTAAAAAATATCCTATTGAAACTCTCCTTTTTTTGTAGGACTAGGACATCAGTACAGATTTCAAAGCTCTTGAACCATTATTAATCAGAAAAAGATAGGTGAATTCAAGTACCATAGTGAATAATACAACTAAGGTTGTAACTTTCCTCAATTATAATGTGTAACTTTCACAAAACCCACTGAAAATCAGTGAGATTTAAAGAAGTTCAATTTGAAAAGGAGTCTACAGATCAGCCGGGCACTGGTGGCTCACACCTGTAATACTTCTACTCAAGAGGCTGAGATCTGAGGATTGCAGTTCAAAACAGGAAAAGTCCACGAGACTTTTATCTCCAATTAACCACCAGAAAACTGGAAGTGATGCTGTGGCTGAAGTGGTAGAGCACTTGTGTTGAGCTGTGGAGCTCAGGAACAACAGCCAGGTCCAGAGTTCAAGCCCCACGACTGACAAAAAAAAAAAAAAAAAAAGTCTAAAGATCAAAGAAAGATAAGGTCTTTACTTGACTTGGAAAGGGTGAGACTTAGAATTACGATCAAAGTGGTGATCTGAGAAAAAAAATCAGAGATTGGAAATTAATAATATATAAGGCAGAGTTTGACTTCAAGAATTTCCATAAGGAAATTATAATACTCTTTAGATTTATAAAAATTGCACTTAGGAGCCAGGCTCTGGTGACTCATGCCTATAATCCCAGCTACTCAGGACACTGAGATTTGAGGATTATGGTTTAAAGTCAGCCTGGGCAAGAAAGTCTATGAGACTCTTATCTCCAGTTAACCACTAGAAAGCTGAAAGTAGCAATGTGGCTCAAAGTGGTAGAGTGCTATCCTTGCAAAAGAAGCACAGGGACAGTGCCCAGACCCTGAGTTCAAGCCCCAGGACTAGCACACACACAAAAAATGCCCTTATGACCTTGACTCCCAAAAAAGCAGGAAATTTTTTCATTGCCACTCATACAAAATAAGCCATATAACATTTAAAGCCCCATTTTTTAACTCATCACTCAAAGTCCATTCCAAACAATAATACCAGGGATAAAGAATAAGTACAACAGGGTGCTGGTGGCTTACACCTGTAATTCTAGCTACTCAGGAGGCTGAGATCTGAGGATTGTAGTTCAAAGCCAGCCTGGGCAGGAAAGTCCGTGAGACTCTTAGCTCAAATTAACCATTAGAAAACCAGAAATGTCACTGTGACTCAGAGTGGTATAGCATTAGCCTTAAGCAAAAGAGCTCAGGGACAGAGCTCAGGCACAGCACCCAGGTCCTGAGTTCAAGCCTCATGGCTGATTTTTAAAAAAAAAAGGAGTACATATGAGATGACATAATAAACCTAAGTATTTATGCACCTATTAAAAGGCCTCAATACTCCCTGGGGAAATACACAAACACATAAGTTTAATTTCAGATTTCAATACCTTACCTTTGGTTATTGGTAAAATATATAGAAAATCAGAGACTTAAACATCATGACAACTTAACAACATGAAGCAACATTCATGTTTTAGTTCATTTTGTGTTGCTTTAACAGAATACTACAAAATAAGTACTTTATAATGAACAGAACTGGTTGATTTGTGTGGTTTGGTGAGCTGAGAGGTCCAAGTTCTAGGAAGGTACTAGACATCTGGCAGAAGAATTCTTGGTAGTCCATCCATGGTAGAAGGCAGAAGGGCAAGAATGAGAGGTTGAGAAGAAGACATAGAGAGCGTAAGAGTGAGGAGAGGTGAATCTATGCCCATGAGAATAGTAATAATCTATTCATAAGGGTGGTTTCCCATAACCTAAATGTCTCCCATTAGGTCCCACCCCCACTACGACATCAGTTATGATCAGATTCCAGGACATTAACTGGTGGGACATTCAGGCAGTAGAACCCTCCAACAACAGCAGAATCCATATTTTCTCAGGTGCACAACTTAAATATGTGCCAAATAAGCTGTATTCTAAGCTACAGAATTAGAGTATAAATGAAAAATAGTAGGATACCTGGAAAAGTCTCCAAAATTTTGGAAACTAAAGAACATACCTTTCAAAACCACAAGTTGAACCAGGAATCAAACATTGTTTGGCACTGAATGCAAAAAAAAAAAAAAAACCACAGATTGAAATTTGTGAGATGCTTGTGGAAGAGTATTTAATGAGAAATTTAAACATTGAAATACATATACAATTAAACAAGAAACATCAATCTTCGAATATTTCAAAAAATAGAGAAAAACGAATGTATTAAACTCATTCTGAATTAGAAAATATGAGCAATATAAGAAAGCTAACCATAGAAATTGCTTTAATTTCACACTGAAGTTCTGGTTGTGAGTTTTGTTAAGAAAGAATAGAGGGGAATTAGGAAATATGAGCAATATAAGAAAGCTAACCACAGAAATTGCTTTAATTTCACACTGAAGTTCTGGTTGTGAATTTTGTTCGGAAAGAATAGAGGGTAGCTAAGTCATCTGTTGCTTTTTATATATTAACTACCATGCAAGTAATTTTATTCCTCAAATGATTGCATGCATTCTGTATGCCATCACTATGCTGAGTGCTTAAAATAGAAAATTACACAAAGCCTAATTATTGTTTAATTTTATTCCTCCTCTGAGGTATGGTATATGTGCCCTACATTTGTTAGATGAGAAAATGGAGGGGGCTGGGAATGTGGGTTAGTGGTAGAGTTCATGCCTAGCACGCATGAAGCCCTGGGTTTGATTCCTCAGTACCACATAAACAGAAAAAGCCAGAAGTGGCGCTGTGGCTCAAGGGGTAGAATGCTAGCCTTGAGCACAGACAGGCTCAAAGACATCCTGAGTTCAAGCCCCAGGATCGGCAAAAAAAAAAAAAAAGGAAAACCTGAGACACTGCCAAGTGCCAGTGGCTCATAGCTGTAATCCTAGCTACCCAGGAGGTGAGATCTGAGGCTCACAGTTCAAAGCTAGCCCAGGCAGGAAAGTCCATAAAACTCTTATCTCCAGTAAACCACTCAGAAAAAAGCTAGATGAGTGTCACTGTGGCCCGAGCACTAATCTTGAGCAAAAGAGCTCAGGGACTGTGCCCAGGTCTTGAGTTTAAGCCCTACAACCAACAAAAAAAAAAAATACCCCAAAAACAAAAACATGAGTATCTTGCCAAAGGCAATGCAATTAATAAATAACAAAGTCAGTCAAATTCAGCTGTGTGTGGTGCCCAAACCCATGCTTCTTTCACTACATTGACCTGATATATACTTTAAGAACATAAAAAATTATTGAGATTATGTAAATAATTCTCAATTTAAATCACAATATTGACAATTACATACATGTTTTGTTTTTTCAGCCTGACAGAAAAAATCAAGATTACTTATTTGATAGAATTTCAGAAAGCTATGTAACACTTTTCCTGAGCATACCTCTAAGTCGAAAAGATGCATTCTTACAGGTAACCAATGAAAATAATAATTATGCTGACTACTTTTAGCCTGAATGAATTCGAAAAACTTACTATCTTGAACACATTTGAGAACATATTTCATTACTTTTGAAACCAAAGTTGTCTGATGTGGAGTAAGTATTAGCCACTAAAAAATTATGCTCTGAGCCTAGTGCCGGTGGCTTATGCCTATAATCCTAGCTACTCAGGAGGCTGAGGGCTGAGGATCACAGTTCAAAGCCAGCCCAGGCAGGAAAGTCCGTGAAACTCTTATCTCCAGTAAAAACCACCAGAAAACTGGAAGTGGCACTGTAGCCCCAGTGGTAGAGGGCTCGCCTTGAGCTGAAGATCTGAGGGACAGCACTCAGGCCCACAGTTCAAGCCCCACAAAAAATAAAAATAAAATCTTATTCAATTAGTGACTTAACATGTGAATGCAGAATACCAAAATAGATATATATTTGTCTTCAATGTAAAAAATCTTGCAAGGTACCAGCTCACATCTGTAATTCTAGCTACTCAGGAGATCTGAGGATTGCAGTTTGAAGCCAGCCCAGGCAGTGAACTCCGTGAACCTCTTATCTCCAATTAACCACCAGAAAACTGGAAGTGGCACTGTGGCTCAAGTGGTAGAGCACTTGCCTTGAGCTGCAGAGCTGAGGGACAGTGCTCAGGCTCAGAGTTCAAGCCCCATGACCGACAAAAAAAAAAAAAATCTTGTATCTTTCTATATCTAGTCACTCCTTGAGAAGAAGTTAATAAAGATGTTAATGGGATACTTGTAAGGCAATGTATTTGTTTATATCTTGTTTTTAATTTTTGAACAATATTGATTGCAATATATAAATGCTCCTGAACAATATAATTCTTTAAAAATATGCTTTTTATTATGACAACCCATGTGTATCATTTTTCTAAAAAGAAGGTAGCAACAGCAAGGTTAAATGAAATAAAAGATTAATCATCAAATTACTTCAGTTGTTTACTTCATCCTGTATTGAAGTTAATTTTTTTTTACCAAATGCTGTCAGATCAACTTAATTTTCTTCTCTTTGTTGTTCATGTTCCTTAAAGTTACAAAGAAGTAATAAAATGGTTAAAAATAAGCTTTAAGAAAAAAGCAATATACCTGTATTTTAAACTTATAATGTGTTTGATAATTAGAAAATATAAAATTAATCTACACTAACTCCAGGTGTACCCAGATTGTCTGGCACAAGCTATCTGTACGGCATTTTATGAAGCATTTCCAGAGTCTACGAACCTCTTTAATGATGAATTTAAAGAAGATCTAGGGAATACCATTTACCTTTGGCTGACAGGTATGAATATGTCATTTAAGTACTATTTATTACACTGAATCCTTAACTTTTGGGGATTGAGCAGGGTGCCTGCCAGTGGCTCATGGCTATTATCCTAGCTACTTGGAGGCTGAGACTTGATGATTAGAGTTCAAAGCCAGGACAAGCAGGAAGCTCCTTGAGACTCTTATCTCCAATTAAATACCAAAAAGCTGAAAGTAGAACTCAAGTAGTAGAGTGCTAGCCTTTAGCACAAAAGCTTAAGGACAACACCTAGACCTGAGTTCAAGCCCCAGGAATGGCACAAAAAAAATGTGGATTAAATATTGTTTACTCAGATCAAGAAATTGGTATTTTTTGCCTTATAAAAAATGATATTAAATGTGATTATATATTTATTAATACATAATTTGTTATATATTTATCTTTATATTTAAATATGCTATAATACAATAGCATGTTTTTAAATGCTATGTTTAACTTCTTAGTGAATTTTTTTTTTTTTTTTTTTGGTTCCGGTCGTGGGGTCTGAACTCTGGGCCTGGGCGCTGTCCCTCAGCTCTTCAGCTCAAGGCTAGCACTCTACCACTTGAGCCACAGTGCCACTTCCATCTTTTTTCTTTTTGCTTATGTGGTGCTGAGGAATCGAACCCAGGGCCTCAGGCATGCAAGGCAAGCACTCTACCACTGAGCCACCTTCCCAGCTCCTATGTTTAACTTCTTAACCAAATTAGTTCTTAGCTTTAAAAGGCAAAATAATTTTAATCAATGAAATTATTACAGATTACAGTATTACAACAGAAATGATACCATATGTGAAAGATAAATACTTTCAACTGCTGTGAGGAGCAGGAAATTTCTTAAAAGTTCTTTTACAGACTGAATTGTGTCTCCCTCCCGATTTTTATATTGAAGTGGAATTATAACCCTTTTAATGTGACTGTGTTGAAGATAGGGGAGATCAACATATGGGTAACACCGAGATGATTAGAACAAGAAGGTAGATGGAGGTTATCAGAACTGGGCATATGGCTGGTACAACTATAGTCCTCAGTGGCCTCTCCTGCAGCAGTCTACATCAACCTTTGCTGCTAAGGACTTGAACAACCCAATAGCAGCAGCCATAGACTCCTAGAGGCTTTCACAGTGGATCTTCCCTTGGTGTTTATCAATAGAGACTTCAACAGCCTGCTTCAGAGGGCACTGGTGACTTTTGCCACTGATATCACCAATATCCTTTGGTCAAATGAAAGCCTGTCCGGGACTTTGGTGCTGCTGCTTCTCTGTGCATACCTACAATCAAGACCTTGGCTCTATGGCAGCGGAGTACATGCCCACACCTCAGGCATCAAAACCACCACAGTAGTGAGTCAGCCCACATCCTATAACGCAAGCCACTATTTTCTGCACACTCATAAACTCCAGACTCTGGTTTTTTAATCACTCTATAAATGCTTACACTTTGAAAACCAGAGCCACTACTATATCAACAAAAGAAAACTGAAAAAGAGTCACTCAGATTAATCAAACTAATAGCTTCTGAGTATATTATCTAGTGGACGACTAATTCTAAAAAAGTAATTACTGAGGTTGGGCATAGTGAGTCATGCCTATAGTCTTAGCTACTTGGGAGGCAAAGATAAGACAGTCTTGGTTGGAGACCAGCCTAGGCGTAAAGTTAATGAGACCCTCTCAAAGTTTAAGCCAGTAGTGGTGGTTTGCTCTTGTAATCCTAGCTACACAGAGGCAGAGGTAAGAGGATCATAGTCTTAAGGCCAGTCCCAGGCAGAAGATCATGAGCCCATCTGAAAATAGAAAATTTGGATTTGATAATGTAATCTGATTTGGCAAATGTGTATTTTCTATAAACAGGTCTAAAACCTCCAAAAGACATTTGGACCCATTGGAATCTGAAAGACCTCATCACCACCACAATTCATGGGGTCAGTAGAACACCTGCAAAATCACTGATGGAAAGGATGGCAAGCAGTCAAGAACGCATAAGCACTGGTAAGTAAATGTTTGTTGTGTGAGCCACAGAAAGAGAAAGCAGCCTAAACCAAGGAATTAGGTTATTTTTTGGTCATGACTTCTTAGTTCATTTTTTGTGAAGGTCTCAATACCATTTTATTTAGATTGTTGTTACAATGATACATGCTTAAGGGTTTTGCTGGTTCACCTGTTACAACAATTATTTGTTGCTTTTTGGAACTTGTATCCATACAGATACACTAGACATTCTCATTCTTAGCTTATATTGCTAGCTGGTAATAGTGTTACTCTTTGTTGCTGGTTCGATGTTTTTGTTTTTTGTATGGGTGTGATGGGAAGATTATTTTGCCAATGGATGAGCTTAATATTTTTACTTAGTATATTGTGTTTGCTTTAGAATTTCAGTTTTGTGGCATTTTTGTCTAGATTTAGCTAAGATTATGAAAATACCTACCTGTATTTTTTCACTACTTTCTTTCATTAGTCAATTTGTTTCTTTCATCTGTTTGGAATTTACTTTGTTATAAGGAAGACAGTTATTTTTCCATAGGATGTTTTGTTCCGGATGACTCCTTTATTAAAAAATCCACTTATAAATCATTTAAAATACCCATTTTTTAATATATTTTGTATTCTCTTTTGGTTCTTGAACTATATGTCAAACGGCTGCATCAGGCCAACCTCTTTAATTACATTAATGAACTTTGTAAGATGAATTTGTTTTTCTCTTGTTTATGCTATATCCCCACTACCAAACATAAGTCTAATACTCAGGCCTTGTTTCTGACCAGGTAATTCAGAATCCAGGCTCTCTACCTTTCAACGCTCCTCTTACAATTTCATTGTGCAGCAAAATTAAAACAGCTAGTTGAGGGGTGGAAGAAAGGGAGAGGAAGAGGGAGAGAGGAGGAGAGGTGAAACGGGATGCTTTTCCAATGCCTTCATTTATAAACCAGGAAGAAGGGAGACTAGCCAATTTAATCTGCTCTTCTGATAGCTATTCTTTAGTTGATTTATGATTCTAAAAATATTTAGTTAATTATTACTCTTCAGATACTTGTACTTGGAATTCACAGAATCATTGAACTCTGGTTTTCCCCAATGTTACCCTTGAAAATATTACCATGTATGATTTTTTTTTAGTACTTACATGAAATTTCTTGTTGAGGTTGCTAATGTCAACTTAGTATCTACATCATATATGTATTTGGAAGATGTTTTCTAGAAATTTGGAATGGAAAGAGTAGTCCACTACTCCAATTATTCTTGTTTTTGGTTTTTGGTTTTGTTTTTTTCTTTTTTCTGTAACTGTTTGGATCAATACAAAATTAAATTATTTGTGGATTTTTTGGTACAAAATAAACTTACAGAAAAGTGATTTTAAAAACCCATGAATATGGTCTCCCTCATAAGTGGATGCTAAATCCAAAAGGTTAGTGATACGACAAAACTAACAGGACTTAAGAAACAAAGAACTCCCGCTCATCTGGTTGAACCACTACTAAATATCCTCATGCAGCTGATCACAAATATGGTATATAACATGTGAACACTGTTATATATTACAGACTGTGGTAGACAATTTGCTCCAGGGAAGTTAGAATGAACTTGTGACTTTGAAATTATGTAATCATTTAATCACAATCAAAAAAAAAAAAAAAAAAAAGAACCTCGGGGAAGGGAGGGAGGGAGGGGATGGTAGGGGGAAAACAATGGAGGGGGTAACAATGTTCAAGAGGAAGTGTACTCATAACCTCACTCATGTAACTGTGACCCTCTGTATAGTAGCTTTACAATAAAAAAAAAAAAAAAAAAAAAAAAAAAACAAGTACAAAGCCAAAAAAAAAAAAAAAAAAAAAAAAAAAAAAAAAAAAAAAACCCATGAATAATTTTCATGTATCTTCCAACCACAAGTTGCATTTTACCTCATTTTTACTATTTTCTTTTCCTTTGTGGGTCCTGAGGTTTGAACTCTGGGCCTAGATGCTGTCCTTGAGCTCCTTTGTGCTCAAGGCTAGTTCTCTATCACTTGTGCCACAGTGCCACTTCTAGCTTTTTCTAAGTAGTTTATTGGAGATAAAAGTCTCTCAGAGGGGCTGGGAAGGTGGCTCAGCAGTAGAGTGCTTGCTTCACATGCATGAAGCCCTGGGTTCGATTCCTCAGCACCACATAAATAGAAAAAAAGGCCAGAAGTGGCACTGTGGCTCAAGTGGTAGTGTGCTAGCCTTGGGTTGAAGAGCCCAGGCCTAGGCCTAGAATTCAAGCCCCAAGACTGACCAAAAAAAAAAAAAAGTGTCTCTCAGACTTTCCTGCCTGGGCTGGCTTCGAATTGTGATCCTCAGATCTCAGCCGCCTGAGTGGCTAGGATTACAGGCATGAGCCACCAGTGCCAGACATCTTTTCTTTTTATATGCGCTTTATGCTATAAATTTCCCATAACCATTGATCTAGCTATAGTCTTCAAATTTAAATATGCTATATTTTATAACATAATTAATATTTTCAAACTCCTATAACCTATGGGTTATTTATAAGGGTCTTATTTAATATCTGAAAATGTGACTTTTTCTAGATATTTATTGTTACTTTTTTTTATTTTAATGTGAAAACTATTATATCCTGAGACCATACTTAATATAATACGATGTATTTTATGGTCTAGTTTGTGGTGATTATTATTCCATGTGTACTGGGGAGAATTATACATCTGCAGTTTTTTTTGACTTCTCAACTTAGATCAAATACTGTTACTCATATCTGTATCAGAGGTCAAAAACTTTGTTTTGTGGAACAAATCTTGTAGCATGTTTTTAACTATCCTGTGCTCTTAAGAATAGGTTTTATAGAAGGGTGCTGATGGTTCATGCCTATAATCCTAGCTACTCAAGACAGATCTAAGGATTGAGGTTCAAAGATAGGGCAAGAAAGTGGCCATGAAATTCTTACTCCAATTAACCACCAGAAAGCCAGAAGTGGAGCTGTGGCTCAAAGTAATAGAGCACTGATGAGCAAAAGCTCTCAGGGACAATGCCCTGGCCCTGAGTTCATGCCCTACAATTGGAGGGGGGGGGTTATATATTTTTAATTAATTTACTTTATTCTTTTTTTTTTTTTCTTGGTTTTGAGGCTTGAATTCTGGGCCTGGGCGCTGTCCCTCAGCTCTTCAGCTCAAGGCTAGCGCTCTACCACTTGAGCCACAGCACCACTTCCGGCTTTTTTCTTTTTGCTTATGTGGTGCTGAGGAATCGAACCCAGGGCCTTGAGCATGCAAGGCAAGCGCTCTGCCACTTGAGCCACAGCGCCTCTTCCGGTTTTCTAAGTGGTTTATTGGAGATGAGAGTCTCATAGACTTTCCTGCCCAGGCTGGCTTTGAACCCCAATTCTCAGATCTCAGCCTCCTGAGTAGCTAGGATTACAGGTGTGAGCCACCGGCACCTGGCACTTTATTCTTATTTTAGAGGCAATGCATAATTACATCACAATTACATGAGTCAGGCAATGAATACATTTCCTTTACACTCTTTCTTCATTCTTTCTGAGTCTCTCCCTCCCATCTCTACCTTAGTTGTATAGTTGACTTTCATCAATGTCCAGTGAGCTCCATTGCTACACTTTTTTTACCCTTTTCCCTCAAATTCTGTACTCTCCCCCCAACCATTCTGAAGATGTACTTTTTTTTTTCGGTCGGTCGTGGGGCTTGAACTCTGGGCTTGGGCGTTGTCCCTCAGCTCTTCAGTTCAAGGCGAGCACTCTACCACTTAAGCCACAGCACCACTTCTGGTTTTCTAGTGGTTTATTGGAGATAAGAGTCTCAGGGACTTTCCTGCCCGGTTTGGCTTTGAACTGAGATCCTCAGATCTGAGCCTCCTGAGTAGCTAGCATTACAGGCGTGAGCCACTGGCTCTGAAGATGTATTCTTTTTTTTTTTTTTTTTGGTTGGTCATGAGGCTTGAACTCTGGGCCCTGGGCGCTGTCCCTCAGCTCGTCAGCTCAAAGCTAGTGCTCTACCACTTGCGCCACAGCGCCACGTCCGGCTTTTTCTGCTTATGTGGTGCTGAGGAATTGAACCCAGGGCTTCATGCATGCAAGGCAAGCACTCTACCACTGGCCACCTTCCCAGCCCTGAAGGTGTATTCTTGAATGCACCATACATAAGGTAAAGAAGACAGAACCATCAAAAACTTAAAAAAAAAGAAGAAGAAAGGAAGGAAGGAAGGAAGAAAGAGAGAGAGAGAGAGAGAGAGAGAGAGAGAAAGAGAAAGAGAAAGAAAGAAAGAAAGAAAGAAAGAAAGAAAGAAAGAAAGAAAGAAAGAAAGAAAGAAAGAAAGAAAGCAAGAAAGAGTAAGTCTCTTGTTTCAATATCTGGCAGTTCATTTCAGTATGTATATTATTTTATATAAATATGAAAAGGCACTTAGGCATTGCACCTTCTCTCTTAAGAATATCTTTTTGAAAAAAAAAAAAAAAAAAAAGAACCTCGGGGAAGGGAGGGAGGGTAGGGGGAAAACAATGGAGGGGGTAACAATGTTCAAGAGGAAGTGTACTCATTACCTCACTCATGTAACTGTAACCCTCTGTATAGTATCTTTACAATTAAAAAAAAAAAGAATATCTTTTTGATCTCACTGCTGTATCTAGAATCCTGTATAATTTATCTTATCCCAGTGCTTAGGTCTAATTTCTGTATATCAGAGAGAATTTGTTTGAGCTCGGCTTACCTCACTCAACATGATTTGTTCTAGTTCCATCATTTCCCTGCAAATGACATTATTTTATTCTTTCTAATGGCTGTGTAAAATTCCACTGTGTATAGGTACCACATTTCTTTGATCCACTCATCTACTGTGGGCATCTTGGCTACTGTAAATAGTGTGGCAATGAACATGGATGTGCAGGTATACTTATCATATTCTGGCTCATGATATTCAGGATAGATGCCTAGGAGTAGTATGGCTGGGTCATAGGGAAGGTCTGTTAGTTATTTTGAGGAACCTTCAGACTGCTTTCTAGAGAGGTTGCATTAGTTTACATTCCCACCAGCAGTGCAGTAGGGTTCCTTTGTCCCCACATGCCCACCAACATTTGTTGTTGTTCAAATTCACAACGTTGGCCAATCTTACTGGAGTGAGATGGAACCTCATAGTTGTTTTTATTTGCATTTCCTTTTTGGCCAGGGATAAGGAGCATTCCTTCATGTGTTTCTTTGCCATTCTTACCTCCTCTTCTGAGAAGTCTCTTTTCCTTGCCCGTTTAGTGATTGGTTTATTAGGTTTGGGAGTGGTTATTTGTTGAGCTCCTTGTACAAACTGGCTATTAGGCCTTTGTCTGATACATTGCTGGAAAAGATCGCCCAGTTTGTTGGCTGTCTTTCTAGCCTAGTAACTATGGCCTTAGCTGTGCAGAAACTTATTTTGATGTAGTCCCACTTACCAACTCTCTCTTATGTGTTGTGTCCCTGGGACTCTGTTCAAGAAGTTTCTACCTATACCTATATGCTCTAATGTTTCCCGTACTCTCTCTTGCAGTGATTTCAAAGTTTTGGGTCTGACATTGAATTCTTTGATCCACTTTGAATTGATATTATTGCATGGTGACCAAGAGGGATCCACTTTTAGTTTTCTGAATATGGATGCCCAGTGTTCCCAACACCAGTTATTGAAGAGGCTATTTTTTTTTTACCAGTGTATGTTTTTGGCTCCTTTATCAAATATCAGGTAACTATAAGTGTATGGTTTTATTTCTGTGTCTTTCAGTCTATTCCATTGATCTTCAGGTCTGTTTTTGTGTCATTACCAAGATGTTTTTGTTGTTATAGCTCTGTAGTAAGGTTTGAGGTCTGATATTATGATACTGCTCACATTGCTTTTTTTTTTTTTTTGGTTGGTTGGTTGGTTGTGGGGCCTGGGCACTGTCCCTCAGCTCTTCAACTCAAGGCTTGCACTCTACCCCTTTAGCCACAGTGGCACTTGTGGTTTTCTGGTGATTTATCGGAGATAAGAGTCTCACAGACTTTCCTACCTAGACTAGCTTTGAACCGAGATCCTCAGATCTCAGCCTCCTGAGTAGCTAGGATTACAGGCATGAGCCAAAAGTGCCCAGCTCACATTGCTTCTTTTTACCTAGAATTGCTTTGGCTCTTCTAGGTCTTTTAATTGTTCATATGAATTTTTGGATTGTTTTCTCTATCTCAGTAAAGAACACTATTGATGGTAAATGTGGCCTGAAAGAATCTTAAAATGTTATCTAGTCCTTTAGAGGAAAGTTTGTTACCTCTGTATTTTTTCTCATATTTTATTTAATCTACTGCTGAGAGGCAATATAAAATCTCTGTTAACTGTGACATTATCTATTTGTCCTTGTAATTTTGTTAGTTTTTGCTTTATGCGTTTTAAACTTTGTGAATGTCTATATTCTTGTTATTCCATGATGTTATTTCCTGACTTCTACTCATATGCATGAAATAATTTTCTGACATAGTTTGGGGTGGGTTTTTTTTTTTGTAGTTTTTGATTGTTGATGTGGGATTAGGAATAGAGACTGATGATGTAGGATTCATGATTTCCCTCTCCATATCTTTGTGTATGGTGTGGAGGAAGAGTTGTGTATATTAAAATTTTAATCGTAGCCAGGAATTGGTGGTTCACTCTAGCTACTTTAGGAAGCTAACGTGGAAAGTTCACAGTTCAAAGCCAGCCCAGGCATGAGACTCTTACCTCCCATTTACCAACAAAAAGTTGAAAGTGAAACTGTGGCTCATCTGGTAGAGCATTGGCCCTGAGCATAAATCCTAATCTATAGCATCCAGGTCCTAAATTCAAGCCACAGTACTGGCAAAAAAAAAAAAAAAGCTTTAATCTTTGTTCTGGAAAAAGCTTGAATCAGGTCAAACGTAGAATTGGGATAAAACATGAGAATGAATGCATGAATATATATAACTTTCAAGGAATAGAATAATCTACACTTCATGTGTGCTGCTGTTTTAGAGTTGCTGCTTCTAATCTAAAGCATATTTAAAACATTAAAACAATTTCTTCTTCTTCTTGACATTTGAGATGCATATTGTCATACGGAATTAACTTTCTTCCAGAATTTTAGTGAAAAGAACTTTCTGTTTTGGTTTTTAATGAAATAAACAGACAGTGGATAGTTAAAGTTTGCCTTCCAAACAAACTGGCACAATATCTCCCTTTTTAGGACTGGAATGTAAGCAGTTATAGAATTTCAGTGTCTGGAATGACTCAGGATTTACAAGCCAACTCTCCCTAAACAGCATATTGTCAGATTATTTACGAGACTAGTTTTAATGCTCATTTCTCCTATTGTGGTACAATACAATGTAAGCTTTTAAACTCAAAAGATCATTTTGAAAAACTATTTTTATAGAGTTCCCAATTTTAAACCCAATGTTTTTCGCTTTAGCTGAACTTTAAGGTCAAACATGAACAAACCCATCATTTTTATAAATGATAAACTGCAAGCACTAAGACAATTCATTAAGTACCTAATACAGATTACTGTATTTGGTGCCATGCAGGAAAAAAAATGAAGGATACATACTACTTATTTTTGGACAATAACTATTTGATATTTAGCTATTTGATATTCACTATTTGATATTTAGATAATGTGCAGAAATACTTTGTCACAGCCTGATGAGTTTTGAGTCTACATGTCACAAAGAGCTACCTGAATTTTCATTCATATCTCCATTTGCACTGCTCAGGACAATAATGAAAGAACCCTAAATCTGTGTAAAATACCACTTTAAGAATTAAGCCAGCAAAATCTCCACAATGTGTTTTTTCATATATCATTTAAAGAAAACAAGGAAATTACCCAGTAAACAAGTGGATCACTCTCAAGTAAGAGTGTCAGGCGGTGATAAGAGGGCTTGACATACAAACTCCTAATGTAGTAGCAACTTAATAAGATGTATTATGTTGAATTTTATACTATACCAAGTGTAATAGATTACTTTTTAGAAATAGAATAGATATATATAAAAAACTGGAAATTGACCATTTTTACAGAACTATCCAGATTTTATGAATTGTTTTCATAATTTAAATTTATTTTAAAATCATTTAATTCTCTTTTCTTGGGTACCCTGCTTTCCAGGAAATTTTAATTACTAGTTTGGGTTCCAGAATTTTTTTGATGGTCTGCAAAAGGTTTACTTGTGTCTCTTGAACCTCCCACCCCAATACAATGGTCTGTATACTGGCAGTACTTGTAAGAAATTCTGAATTTCATTTTTCACCACTAGGTATCCTATTATGAAATGCATTATTTACACTATTTTTTCATTTGTAAACAAAAGATTTAACCCTGTGTAACCAAAATATTTTAATCAGCCAATATAATACTAAATTTATATATTTTTGTTACTGTGTACATTAAGCTCCCAGCCCTTCTTGATTTAGAACGACATTCCAGGTACTCAATAACTCCGTGTAACAAATACTTCCCACTCTTCTGGGACAGCTCTGAGAACTCTGATGCCCCTAACCCTGGAGGCACTGAAAGTAAAGGCACTGAATCCTCCTCTTCTATTGGATCAGGAAACATGCCTTCCATCCCCACACCTTTTCTTGGTCCCAAGTGGGAAAGAGATCATGCCCTGAGGAACAGTAGGGGACTGAAGGAAGGAAGTTGGCTTCCCACCTGCTGTGTGGCAGGAGCCAAACCTCCATAGACTTCACAGTGAACAAACAATTAAAATTCAGAGAGCACCAGTGTCTTCAGCCCTGTCCACACCTTGACAACCAGAGTATAAATAGAATATTGTATTGAGTAATGTAAAAGTGCTATGATCAAAAGTGAACAAAGTTAGATGGTTCTGAGTAATTTATTCTTCAGGTGGCACAAAACAATAGTACATTCTGTTAGTTGCAAACAACCACACTGGATAGGAATAGGCTGATGCTTTATAGTAATGTGTGTTCATTGTTCTGTCACTAAATAGGAATTTGTTTGTGCACTCCTTCAATAAATACATTTGGAAATAAGTATTCACATTCTGGGTGGGAATATTTACTTAGTGTAACAGATAGTGATAAATGTGGATATGTAAGTCTCCATACAAAATAAGTCATCCCGTTTTTATTTTAGAGCTTGTGGCCTAGTGATGAGAGAGAAACCAACAGGCATAAATTATATAACATGTATGATGGGCATGCATATACCTCTCACACATCTTCAGATTGTGTGTCAGTGATGTGGGAGAGAAAAAAAGATACACGAGGTATGAGGACTGCAGGGGAAGCCGAGTTTTCATTAGAGAGAATGAGGAGGATGTATAAATTTAACAAAATGTTAGGAAAAGTTCTTACTAATCAAGTCCATCTTGCAAAATGGACTTTCTGGACAATACCGAGCCTTGTCAAACACATGAATCTTGGCAAAAACAGAATGTTCTTCAACCAGAAACTTAACAAGAACAATTTTGAAATTGCAGTTTTTGATAATGTACATTTCTCTAAACAACTTGATGAACCTGCTTTGTGCGTGTGTGTGTGTGTGTGTGTGTGTGTGTGTGTGTGTGTGCTTGTGAACACACATATTTAAGACTCAAAGTTGAGGCTAGTCCATGTGGATTTAGAGCAAAAACACAAGCTGAGGACAGTGGCTCATGTCTGTAATCCTAGTTATTCAGGCTGAGATCTGAGGATCTCAGTTTGAAGCCAGCCTTTGAAGGAAAGTCCAAGGGACTCTTATCTCCAGTTAACCACAAAAAAGCTGTGACTCAAAGTAGAGCATTAGCCTTGAATAAAAAAACCTCAGGAACATTGTCCAGCTTCTGAGTTCAAGGGAAAAAAAAATCAAATAAAGAGTAGCCTGACAATGATTCTGAAGCATTTATAAAACAACTTTTAATGAACTATTTTCTATTAAAATACATGTTAAGAATTCAACCACAGAGAACAATTAATAGACACTTTCAAAAACTGTTTTAAGATAATCTTAGGGTCACAGCTGATAATCATCTGTTATTCACAAGTTAGTCGTAATAGCCTGTGTTCATTCTGATGGAACAGTGTTATATTCGGTCGATAACCACCCCATAACAGGCAGTTAAATGTTTTTCGGTATCACTCTGGTACATACAGGACCTTAGACTGGGTTTTAGTTTTCTTTAGCCATGTGTTACTTATGTGTAATGTCAGACAAGGGAAGGTGGAAGCTCTCTTGTATTGTGTTCATGCTCAAGCGGATACATTGGAGAAGGAGTACGAATGACTCCTCAGATTAAACCTTGGATGTCCTTCTGAGGCATGAGTGTTACTCTCGGGAGTTAACTAGTGTCAGATTCATAGTAAAGTGAACACAAATGTATACAAACATAAAAATCACATGAGTTACAAGAGAGAAGATTTCTGTCTTTAGTGGCGGTTTTTATACTTTTCTCTCAATCTTATTCTACAACTCTACTAGTGTAGAGCAAAAGAATTATAAGGAGCACAGCTTCAGGGTGTTTGTGGCTATAGAATTGCTTTTACTATTGCTTTTACTATTGCAGGTTCCATGGTCAGACTTGATCTTCTTTGGCACTCTAAAGAACCAGCAGAGCAAATTCTAAGAGATAGCATATTTTTATTACTTGTTTTGTTAATATTTTACATTCTTTCAAATTTTTTCCTAATTGTTGGAGACCAACATATTTATGTAATTCTTTTCAAAATAACATTTTAGAAAGGGTTATTCTACCTATAAAATTAGTATGCATAATGCTTTATATAAGTAAAGGAGTACCCGTAAAAGTTGAATACAAATCAGGATTGGAAACTATATTATTGCTTTTCTCCTTTTTGGTTACATGATTATGACACAGATTAATTATTATGTGTAAAGTGAATTGCCAATAAATCACATTCAGTGGAAAATATAAAGATATCTCAATAGAAGCAAACCAAAACATAAGCTTGCTTGCTAATAATGATTAGAATCCCAGGGTAAGTAGCACATGCTAAGTAACCAAGACTCTGTCACAGTTCTCTTGTGTATCCAGCTACATGATCTTGAATTACAAAAACCTTAATTTCCTTATCTATAAATGAGTACATGGTATGATGGTCTCATAGAATTTTAAAGTTCTAGAATTCAAAGTATATATAACTAAAGCATATTTTTATTTCTAAAATTTGCATGATAAATGTATAAACCTAGGATAAGAACAAGAATTAAAAGTAAATGTTTTTAGAAAGATTTTGTAGATAACCTTTACTTCCAGGATTGGTTTTGCTAATAAATCCTGGTTTTTGCCTAATTCAAAACAATCTAACAGTAATTTGATGGCATTTGTAACTTCTCTTGTATGTATATACAGTATTTTTGCCTAATCATGAATGACCTCAACTTTCAAAACTTAAGATTAGTTTCATTATTACAACTTTTTTTGCTATTTAGACACTGAAGGGATTTAGATAAAAATTTATCATAGATAACTCTGAAAGGCACTAAAGAATCAAATACGAAAAATGCCTTGTTCTAACCTTTAAATGTTCACAAGACTCCAGTCACTTGATCTGGCTAGACTAGCAACATTCCCAAATCAGACAATAGTTCAGAATACCATGCATGGCACTGCTCTAGAATATACTTGAGTAAGGCCAGGAAAAACTTCCCCCTAACTGTATCTGGCCTGGCTTGGTCATATAAGTGAACAAGAAAATACGTAGTTCTGTTGTTTCTGTAATGTAAATAGACCTTAATGACAAACATTTTGAAGTTGAAATCACAATAATTAACAGACCAACAATTTGAGCTGTCCTTGGTGAACATATAAAGTGTTACCAACATCTGCTAGTGGAAGAATTGTAAAGTAGATATTCAGTCTTTCTAATAAGTCCATAGCCCTAGGTCTTCATGACATTCAGGGGTTCATATCCCTAACTATATCCTCTACTTGAGTCATTATTCTCTTGCCATTTAAAAGGAAAAAGGTTTTCAATACTGCCACCTTTTGGATGGAAGGTATTCCTCTAGATTACAGGATTACTACCTTTAACTATCCTTAATGTTTAAATATGACACTGTTCTATTCATGTGCTCAAATATATTCTTTAAGATTTTTTTCCTCTGGAACGATTTTACTTCTGTGATCCAATTTAACTGGCAAGAGAATTGTGGTAAAACATTTTTTGCATATTTGTATTGTTCCCTGTGAGGCATCTATTGTAAGCATTGCTGCGGGCTGTCATTTTTGTCTGCCCTCCAGGATTTGCTGGCCCAAGTACTGTGTACCAGACTTGGTGTCAGTCATAAGGGGGAGGGGTAATTTGCAGCTCAGCCAAACAGTTTTGTTATTCCTTTAAAATTAAAAGCATATGAAACAGATACAGCTTATGAAGGTTTTTTTTATAAATAACATAAACTTAAATAACAAAACAATAAAGTTCAAATACAACTTAAAATAGAGTTTAATGCTATAACACAGGAGGGGGGAAAAAGCATGATTATTTGTGGGAAGAACATTGTTAAAAAGCCCAAGTCCCAAATATGAATTATACAAAAGACAGATTATGTTACTAGAAAAAAAACTTAAAAGACTTCTGAATTTTACTTTTGGGGATTATAAAACGTTACTTTGTGGCACGTGAGATGAAGTACAGTATTATTATTATTGCTATTTTATGTACAAGATTTTTTTTAAAACCTCCTTTTTGCAATACCTTTTCAATCTGAGCAGCATTGGGAAATTTTTTTCCTTGTTAATAGGTACAAGCATGCTTTCTGAAACTACTTATTTGATCCAATTCCATAATAGAACTTTTTAGAAGAGTCCTTATTTTCTGATTGGATTATGATTTTTTCACTGGAAAGCATCACAAATGCTGCTCGTCTCCTAGTTAGTGTTGGTTTGATTATCTGACAGATCATTCCAGCAGCCTTTAGGTCTGACATACCTTATATAACATCATCTGCATAATTATTATTATTATTTATTATTATTATATATATAGCAGCCATTTGATAAGCAGATAGGAATATTTAAATAATCATTATCAGATAATCAAATCTAACATACTCTGAAGGGTAAATTAATTTAAGAAAAAAACATTACTATTACTAACACCATGATTGTACAACCAGTTTTACAACTTTTTACAACTCTTAGTTACTAAATCTAATTTTTGTGTATAGTTTTCAAATCTTTCTTTAATGCAGTCTCTTAAAATAAACAAAAATGCGCAAGTCCAGCTTGATCAGTTTTTCAGTAGTTTTCCAGCCTTTCTCGGTTACTTTAAAAAAAAAAAAAGAAAGAAGAAAAAGGAAAAGAAAAAGAAAATGAAAACAGTCCACTTAAAGAAATCTCCCTGCTGAAACTGGTTTCTTATATACCATACATTGACTAGGTTATCGCCATAGGAAGAAAGTGGGCTGTTTTTTGTTCTTTCTTCGTTTTTTTCCCCCTTACAGGAACCCCTTTTTGATTTAAGGCAACGAACATTTCTCCTCCACTGTGTGTCCATTTAGCAGATGCATATGTGTTGTAATGGTTTTCCAGGATTAATTCTTTGAAGTTGCAATCTTCGTTGCAGTCTTTCTGTTAAAACAATGTGCCGTATTATTCAAATGACTTTTGGAAGAATTCAATTTTAAACTAAGATTAAGCAATATTTGGGAGAAAACTTAAGCAATATATGACTTGTTTTAAACCTCAGATTAAGCAGACCTAATACATTTAATGTGTATTAAATACAGCCCTTTATTTTTAAATTGAAAACAAAAAAGACAACATGATACATAGTTTATGCAACCTGGCCACAAAAATATTATGTGGGCAGTCAGATTCTACTGTTCTGTCATATTAGGACTTATTTTCCCCTAATAACTCTTCTGTTGCTAAGCACTGCAAATTTGGAGTAGTCAAGAGAGCATTTGCCTCTCTCTGGTCATTTACTGCTACATGGCCTTCAAGAATAATAAAATTAAAAGTTCATCTATGCTATCATTCAAGTACACCTGTAGTATTATGTCAGACATTAGGCTGAGCTCTAGGAATACAAAGGAAAGTCAATCACATTTTATTATGGTGGGCTAAATTTTTACATATTTCACATTGAAACAGAGCAAATAGTGTGAATGCTTCCAGTTCAGAGATCGTGATTCTGAGATGGATGTGATACTTCAGGATTTTTTTTTCCCAAGAATTTTCATGTCAGCAGTGTGCTTTAACGAAAAGAGCTTTAATACTGACAGATGGAAATTTAGATTTCAAGTATCTAAAATGCACATGGGACTTTAGAGCCAGAAGAATCAGCTATTGAAGCTCATTTTACAGATGAAGAAACCAAAGTCCAGACAGCTTAAGCAATCTGTCTAAAGGCACAAAGAAAACATTTTTTTTCTTAATGCTTGGGTATAAAATTTTAATGAAATCATTAAATTATACCACTGGAAAGAAGTTGGTTCCAGTTTTGCTTTCTAAAAAGGCAAAAATGTTTTTGACAAAAACAAGTTTGAAAAATTAACTCTAAGCCATCAACAAATGAATACCTTTGCATAGAGTTTTCCTTCCTTGTTCATTGCAAGATAGTATTCGCTTTCCACCCCTTTGATTGCCACAATTCCAACTGCCACTGTCCTGATCTCCATGATATCTGCAAGGAATCACAGAAAGATATTCTGATTATTGACTCAACCTTGTAGATTATCCAAGAAAGGCCATGTCTTTATTTGTTTCATCTGTGAGCTGTTATAATTATTCTTGTGTTTAAGCAATCCCCCCCCCCCACACCCTTAACATACATAGTAACAAGAAAAGTCATTCAAGTGCAAAAATGATGAGACTTTACTTATTTATAAGATGATTTCTTTGTTGCTTTGGATGTCCCTCCCCCACAGTATAACCCCTGCTTTCACTGTATTTGATGCTGGTATAATTTGTGTGTGGGGAGAACAAATCGTTTAAATAGAGATACAGGTGGACCCCTTTGCAACAATGAGATGTACAAGTCGTTAGGTCGAAAACGAACTTTACAACTTTGGTGGGGTGGGGGGAGGAGGTTAGGTGGGGGGACAGAGGGAGGATGGGATAGGAAGGGGAAACAAAGAAGGAGGCTACAATGCTTGATAAGAAATGTACTCATTACAAAATGTCATGTCAAAACCAGCTTTACAATGTCGGAGGGGGGGGGAGGGGGGGTATGATTGGGTGGGGGGGAGGGGGGAGGCTGGGAAGGGAGGTGAAGGGTAAACAAAGGAGGAGGCTGCAATGCTTGGTAAGAAATGTATGCATTATCCTGACCATGTAATTGTAACCCCTCTGTACAGTATGTTCTCAAATAAAATAAAATAAAATTTAAAAAAAAAAAAAAAAGAAATGTACTCATTATCTTGCCCATGTAATTGTAACCAGTCTGTACAGTATTTTCACAATTGAAAAAAAAAAAGAAATTGGTTACAAAAAAAATGATGAGACTTTATTTGGAGAAATAGATAACTAATGAAGAGTTACTATACAAATTTCTCTACAACCATATTTTTTTTCTGAGCCTCAAAAGATTATACAGGGGAGTTACAATTTATATCCATCTAATTACTGTCCAGTGCTTCTTAACCAGAGTTACCCTTCCATCATTCTTCTCATCCTATCCCCTTCCTCCAGACTCATAGACACGCTGAATATTCCTGCAATATTTGTCCCCTGTTCCATTTTTCATTCAACAGCCCCCCCCCCTTTACAGTACCTTACATCCTTAAAATCTTGTTTCAACTTCCTGATACTCATTTTTTGTAAGACATTTGGTAATTATTCAAAACGCTTATTACTCCATGAAGTTTCACTTCTGTATATATCATACTTTAGTCAAGTAACTCATATATACAAGCATGTCTCTGTGCATGTTGATATGAGAGGTTGTATTTTGGGTCGAAGATCTACCTGAGGGAAAAATGTACATCCCTTTGCAAAAGGCATAATTTCATGTTGTGTATAGTTATACATAGATATATAGATATATACCTATGTACATACATACATGCATCTATACATATCTGTTCCTAACAAAATGTAAAAAACTCAAAAGTGCAAATTACGTGCAAAAGCTATTTTCCAAAATATTCACTTAATTTTAGGAGAATATTTTTAGTCTGTTTTCTCATTGTTCATCTGATTTATTCTTTTTACCTCAATTTTCTTGTTTGGATAACAAAATTGGTATTCCTGTAGTAGTAACTGAGCTAGTATTTGTGATCTGCTCCATATACATGATGCAAACAGAAGCCTTTTCCTAATGCATCAGGCTAGTCAGAGCTCATCTAACCAAGTTTCATGGCTGCTCATGTAGAAACAGAGGTGCCTAAGCTGTATAAATGTGACTTTAGGATAAAGATTAGGAAAAATGGACCAAGAGCTCAGTTCAAATGATAGAGAAAAATATTTACCTCTTTAATTAAGAAAGTTAGCCCTGGTTTCTTAACTCCAGAATAGTAGAATAGAAATAGCAAACATTTTTATAGATATGACTTAACCAGTTACATTTTTATTGTATCTATTTACTGCCAGTCCTGGGGCTTGAACTCTGGGCCTGGGGTCTCTGGGCTTCTTTTGCTCAAGACTAGCATTCTACCATCAACGCCACAGCTTCCACTTACGGCTTTTTTTCTGGTATTGGTGTAGATAATAGTCTCATGGACTTTCCTGCCTAGGCTGGCTTTGAATGGTAACCCTTAGATCTCAACCGCTGGAGTAGCTAGTATTTCAGGCATGAATCATCTGCACCCAGCTTTTAACAAATATTCTTTAAGTATTTATTGCCAAGCTAGGCAGAGATCTTATTGATCTAAAAATCAACTGTGAATTTCAAATGTACCTCAATAAAAACAAAGTTAAAATTTTTATTTTATGCTTCTTATATTAGCTGATATTTAACTCAGCATCCTTTATCATACTTTCTGTCATTACTAGTGCCTACTAACGTTGTAAATTTAGCGGGATATGGCAATGCAGGAGCCTATTTATGTAGTAGCGACAGTCATCATGACTTGAATAAATGATGAAAGGCTGAGTAAGTCATGGACGGATTTATCTCATCTCTTTGACTGCCAGGCATCCAGATTTGGTTTGTTTGTGGATACACTGTAGCCATGTTTTTCTAGATTAAGAAACAGTAAAATTAGTTTTTAAAAAGATTGTATTTGACATTCCTCGGTTTAATCACCTACATACCTTGGAAAACCTCCAGAGAGCTAATATACAGTTGCTTAAGAAACGGAGAAATGCATTTCTTAATTCAAACTACATTAGCCATTTTTAGAATAGTGACATATGGATATATTACACTGAGTTTGCAAAATGTGAAAATTACATCACAGTCAGCTTGTCATCATCCAATTGTTTTTGCTTAAGTTATCGCCTTTATGTATAATCCTCATTCATCTTGCTTGTCCCAATTATTTAACTTTAGCTTAGCCTCCTTAATCTCTATTGTAAATTAGCACATATAAATGATACATGAACGTACTAATATTTATGGCACCCAACAAATTAGCTACTCTTTTCCTGTGTTTGTCCTAGGCAAATTTGAGAAGTTTTCATCTGTAATATCATTTGGATACTTTCTTTCTACTTATGCTACCAATATTTTTAAATGGCCATTGGAACCTATGCATTTTGAACCTGTCCTTTTTCTTAAGCAGCAAACTGAGCTTTCTGTTGTTACCATTAATCTGTAGTTTTCAAGTCTTCAAGCTTATGATAATACCATGTCATTCCTTATATCATCCAAGCATTTAATAATATACAGGCAAAGGCTATTAATTGTTGTTCAGTTCCCATTCTGCTTTTCTTCCACAGTAATAAAATTTTTTAGCCAGGTGCTGGTGGCTCATGCCACCAGCTACTCAGGAAGCTGAGATCTGAGAATCGAGGTTCAAAGCCAGCCCAAGCAGGAAAGCCCATGAGAAGCCTTATCTCCAATAAACTACTCAGAAAAGGTTGAAAGTGGCACTGTAGCTCAAGTGGTAGAGAGCAAGCCTTGAGCACACAAAGAGGCCCTGAGTTCAAGCCCCAGGACCAGCAAAAAACAAATAAATAAAAAAAAATTGCACTTCTCAGTATCTCTCACAGCTCAGTATATCCATGTGACCAAATTCTAGAGGATGTAAGTAAAGTGTCCTATGGCAACTTCCAGAAATATTCCATGAAAAATACTGAGCAGGAGCTCCATATATTTTTGTATTCATTTCTTTATTTTATCTTTCTTTTGGAACTTGAATTCTATTTTGGATTCTGGAAACAAAGTGAAGTGGAAATGTGAACTGAATGGGCCAAGGACACCCCCAACCTCCCAGTGCTTCTGTGAAGCGGGAGTCATTCCTCCAGTATAACAGATGGAGACATAAACTATTTTAACCAACTTTTCTAACTGAATTTTTAACTAATGTACCTCAGCTTTCTATCAGATTCATCCTTCATAAAATGCACATAAAAACCCACGTGCTCCATTTTTATCCATTATTTGAAGCTATATTCCAGAAGGGAAACTCTCATTTTCAACTAACCAAGGGTCATTGGCTTTTTTTTTCTTTATTTTTTTCCCTTCTAAAAGTCTATGGGAAGAAATGAAAACAACACCTGTGCTCTTATGTCTTTCTATTCAGTTCCTATTCAGAACTTCATTCACTCTAGAGATCCCATTTCTTCGAGTGCTATCATTTGTTCATACATGTGTCTGCACTTCGTTTTGTAACTCTTCCTCGATTCCCCTTTACATCCTGACACAAACGTGAGGCCCCTAGTAAGCTATATTAACTCATGTTCAGTTGCTTGCAAGCCAGGGAATGGCCTAGTTTTTCTGAATTTTCCTTATTGTTGCATAAAGCATGAAATGTTTTTATGATTCTTTCCAAAAGACCAGATTCACCATTCTTCTTCAGTGCATCATAACTGTTAATTGGGCACTTAACTATATTCAATCTTTTGCATATTTATTCTCTTTCCTCTATGATCAATTAATGATGGTTTATATTTTCTAGCGTCCAGATTTTTTTTCTTCTTGGCTTCTTTTCTGAATTAGTTTGTTTCATTCTTTGTAGATTTTATGTTTGCTTGTTTGTTTGTTGGGGGGGAGGGTCATTTGCTTGTTTGTAAAGCAGTGTCCTTCCTATGGTACTAATGCTAGCCTGCTTCTACTTCCTGGATGGCTGGGATTATAGATGTGCACTCTACTACATCTAAAATTATTTAACTTCTCAAATAAGCCATACCATAGAAAAATATTTCAAGTCTTTTTACTTTCATATCTAGCCAAGAAAAACAGCTCATATTTATACTGCACATGATCACTGACCATCTCAAACACAGGACAGAAAAAAGAATATGACCCAAGAGAGCTGAAACGGTCTCTTTGTTGAACTCTTGGAAGCATTTCTTTTCATTCATTCTGGCTGATTCCCATGTTACTGCTTCTATATTAGTCTCACTGGAAGTACATAGTATTGGAATGTACTACTTTAATACCATCAGCTCTAGCTTCTTTAAGCAAATATAGGAGAATGCAGCAAAGAACATAAACTAGACAAGAAGTAATCCAAACTAATTCTATCACTTGTTCTTATTTCTCTCACTATGCCTACTTCCTCAATTTTATTTTAATAG